ATTAATGCAATCACTCAAAAAATTTTCACCAGAAAGCATTCGCGCTATTGCTCGAAACCCAAATATAGACTTACAATCAATAGGAATCTATTCAAAATCAGATATTCAACATCACATTAGAACACAACAATTCCAAGAATTATTAACACAATTGGACACTATACAAAGACAATCAATAGACCAAAATTTACGCAAACTTGCAGAAACCGCAGGATTTGCCGATATCTACACGCAAGACTATAGCGGATATTTTAAAGACATTAAAGATTATATATATCTAAACGGTGAAAATACCGTCCCCAAGATATATCACCAATTAACATTTTTAGCTTTGTTACACTCAAAAATGAGATCCTCGATTTTCTAGGATGGCCCTACTACATCTTAGAAAAATTGACTATTTTATACGCAATGTTTAACTTTATTGGATTTCTTTTCTCACTTTTAAAAGGAATCTACAACACATGTGCTATACACACACAAGTAAACAGACAAGCAAGCGTAGCACGCATACTCTTTGCAGGATTTTTTGGAATCTTTTCTACATCTATAAACAAAATTCTTTTAGACGCACAAATAAAAGAATATAACACAAAAATAACAACACGACAAAATACATACGACGAAGAACATAACAATGTAGACATAACGCCAACGGCACCACAATTACCACCCCTACCAAATAACCATCCACTATCCCTAGTCCCACGAAATTTTCGAAATTTAGCCATCACACATAATCCAAATTTTCGACTCACCACATCACAAAGTCCCATTCAACATATAATGACACACCAGTCACAAGATGATAATACTTATGAACAAATTATTGAACAACCCCATACCACCGCTTTTCAGTCTCAAAATAATCATTTTTTTAGCCCACGATGAGCCGCCAACTTGGATCACTACACCGATCAAATTCCCACCCAACCAATCTTACCTCTCCAATCCCAATAATACCACTTTTTGCTTTTCCGCCACCCGATTTTCCATCTAGTAATGTAACATCAGGCATGAATTCCGACACTAATTCACACATCTCAGTTTTATATTCCATCTCACAACTCAATAACCCGAATATTGAAACCCCCGATGAATTTGCCGACTCAGAACCATCCCCATCCAATAATTTTCATAACTCTTCTAATTTTTCTCAACCCCCTTTTCAACCCATATTATCCAATAACCCTGACCCAATCACTCCCACGCCCTCTTATGCTTCCCAAGTTACCCCAACCTACTCCTCATACCATTCTGACCAATCATCTCATTCTCCAGACACCCCCCGAATCTCCCCAGAGCTAGATAATTTTATTACCCTTCAACAACAACCCTACCACCTTAATACCCCAACCATAAACCAAATCTCCTCCACTATAAATTCATCCAATCCCCCTACCCCTACACCCTCTTCAAATTATACTGAATCATTAGCACCATCATCCACATCAACTGAATCTTCACACAACACTAATAGAGCTTACCGCACTTTTAAAAGAAAGTTCCCCAACCATCCTTTCCCAGCAAAACCAGGAACAGCCCGTGAATACATCAACCACCCCAAGCATACTAACACAAAAGAATTTTTAGCCATCACCTTACCCTCATTCCCACAATACACCTTAAATACCCCCCACGACACTAACGAAACACGCAACTTTGTAGATGAATACGTTTTAATGCCCACTCTCTCTTGGACCTCATATTATCATTTTACTAACCCTCTTTGCTTACCTTTATCTAACACTCACATCGATATAGAGCGAAATACGGACATGCTATATCGACTCACTACACCACTAACACCTAGACAATTTACTGACGTTGGTTATAAAAAATCACTAAAAACACACACTGCACCTAGAGCTAACGAATATACACTCGAATACTATGATCACAACATCATCAGAGCTAACCAAGATCAATTCTTAGACGACGATCGCTTCGCTAATCCACAAATTACCGAGAAATTTTTCATCAAGACACCATATATATTTACACTAAACATCTTCGACCGAAAGTTTGATCACATTATTTCAGAAGCACTAACAGACACACAAGCATACGAAAGTTTTAAAGAACGCTTCCAAATATTTTCACTAACCTTTCATTTCCTTGCACCACACGAAAGATATTTACACTGCTCACACGATATTATGTTGCGCACTAAACAAACCCACACATATAGTTATTATCGCTTCATCCAAAATCACTTTGACCTACACACACCCTCTAGACAACCACACCATCGTTTTCAATTCATTAATTCCAAATACACTTCACCATTTTTCCTAAATTTCACATATTGCATTAAAGATACTAACCTTCATGGTATTCTTCGTAATTATGACCCCATAACCCAAATGTACATCTTCTGTCCCATCACCAAGACCTTCAACGCCGAAGAATCCCGACCCTTCCTTATCCCGCACGAGTTTGTACAACCCATAGAAATCCCAATTTTAGAATTCATCCACAACACTAAATTCAATCACAAATTATATAATCTAATCCAAAACACACCTTATGAGTTTGCAGTTGGCACTGAAGAACTAACCACTATTAAGGCACTTCAATTGCTTTGGCCACTGCTTCAAACTAAAAATATCATACGCATCTTAGCTAAACTACTAACAACTTCAGAACTAATTCATGACATCTTCCCCCACGGTTTTTTCCCCGACGACTAACAGGTAAGTATGAATTAAATGAATATAACTAACTAATTGAAATATTAAAAAACTCACCATACTTTATCCATGTTTTCCTTAGATTTTTAGCCTTCATCCGACGATCACCTACAAAAACCACAAAAAACAAATAAAGATCGCAAATTTCATCAAACAGACTTCAACAATTCTATTAATCTCTTACACTTATAAATTTATAAATTTAATACCAATGCAGTAAATTCATTTCTAAAATTTTCCCCACAAGCAGTAAATCTAATTATAATGAAAATTTGTAACTTAAAATTCCCCCATAACTAGCAGTAAATTTCCAAATTCTATGCAGTAAATTAATAAAATGCAATTGCAGTACTAACCTTTTGATATTTTCATTCATTCGCACAGAAATTCTATCCACACTCGCACAGCTCGCCCACGAAGAATTGTTTAAAATAATGAATTTCAGTTTCAAGTTTTCACACTCAACAACTCTAACATATAATAACATGTTTCAAACTTTCCTTTAACCCGGTTGGAAAGGAATCATATACTAAACAAAACTAACCAACGCAGCTTACTAAATACCATAAATCATAGAATAACAGCATGACTAAGAAAAGGAAACCAACGGTACCCAAACCGGATTAACCCAGTTTAAAACTGGATAATTTATTCTTTTGAAGACTATTATAAAGTCTAAGAAAGAAATAATAAAACACAAAAAAGTCGAAAGACAAACCCATACCACAAACAATTTGATTTTTGGAAAAAGGACATAACCAACAAGACATAAGAAAAACCACAACAAACCCAACATAAAACGTTGTCACATAACAGGACCCCTCACAAAAACCGCATGAAATCATACTCCCACTCCTGGCCTAACCCACCAGGAAGGACGTCCTGAGCATGCTCTATAGCCGGCCTAACCCACCGTGCTACATCCACGCTTTGTGACCACACCTCTATTTTTAATAAGAGCTACTCAAGTGTGAGTAACTCTTCAAAATAACCGAACTAAAACAAAAAGCTTTTGTGAAAACAACTAACTAAAATCATAATTAAAAAATATTAAACTAATAAATGTTTTATAAAATGTAAATTACATTATGCAATACATAGATCAGAATACAACACCAAGGACGAACATCTAAAGACAAAACGACCCCACTACACTCGAGAGAGAATGACCAACCACAATCGATATGCCACTCACAATCACAACTCAAAGGATTTAGAGTACAACTTGACTTCGCAGAAAAGGACTTCATTGAACTAGACCAATGACCACCTCGATGTTCAAGTATACGTACAGATCCGAGTAACCAGGCATCCCCTCCACGCACAATCTCCACGCCATTCCCAAACTAGATCAGACACAAAAGAAGTTCTCCACGCAGAACAGAAAAACCTGACATAGCAAACCATTCTGAAATCAGATTTGAGTTTGTTGCAAAGACTTAGTCGTTGTCACTAGAAGACACAACGTCTTATGTCTCTAACTCCAGCTTCCTGGAACTCCTTTAACAAAAAAGGAAACAGAAGAAATATGATGTTCGCCAAACACCAATGTCCATCATCCATCCTTCGAATTGCAGAAGAACTATTCTAAAAAACTCTGTAAAACCCGGATGGGTGGAACCTGATCTAAACTACATTTTATGATTGGATAAATTAGATATTTTACCAATGTAAAGTATTTAATATTAACCAATCATGATCCATCTAACTAACAACCCACTTATTTGTAAGTGCTGAAGTTACTTGTAATTTCAGCACCAGAGAGATTTGAATTTAACTTAGAAATTAGTTGGACTCTCCCGAGCACTTCAGCAGCCGCAATAAACCAGTATACCCTAGATCTATTGAGCCTAGCAGAGACTAGTTAAACAACCTGAGACTAGATAGTATAAGAGTAAGATTAGGATCGGTATTAGACTAAGAAGTTGCACGAATCTATCCGGCCGAAAATAAGATAGCGTGACGAGCAGACGGTGTACCCTATCCGAAATTACTCTATGAGTTAACCAACTCGGTCCTAACTCACTTGTCTCGATTCTGATTGGTTAAAACAATATTTGTCTAAATACTCACTTGTCTGAAGACGCGGTTGTCTAAATACTGCTATGTAACCTTTATAGCTGGCTGTACCATATTGCTTTGTTACTATCAGTTCATGGCTCGGAAAAAAAAACATATAAGAAAACTTCGGGGCTAAGCTTCAAATTGAATCAAGACATCTGAAGCCCAATCGGTTTTCGAAGTTCCTATTTACAATTTGTTTACTATGGACAATGACATGAAAGAAGTGTTGTGTTGTTTACTGACTGTTGCGAGGGTTTGAGACACTCTATGGTGATGTGAGTGTCTGTGGTCTGGAAAGTCCTCACTTCTTTCCCCCTCCGGTCACTCACATACACCATGAAGTGTTCCGGGTCACAGTACCCCCTCCCACTCGTCTTCCTCTCTTCCCCTCCTCTGTCAAGACTCTCTGCTGAAACAGACGAAAAGTACTCTCAAAATGAAAACAGCTTCAATATCATAAAAGGCGAACTGGTGTCTGTGCCAGCACTTGCGAAAAAAGATCCGTCCACGTTAATCTTTTCCAAAAAATGAAAACTCAAAAACATTTTTGAAAATAGCAGACGTCTTTTCCAACCTTTCGGTTATTTACATGGGCAAGAAAAAATCAAACGGACAGTAAAATTCAAAAAAGTTATCAATTTCGTGAAAGGTTTCATAAAAGAACAGCATATCGCAGATTACGAATATAGTGCGAAATTTTTGAGGCTTTAAGACAGCCCAAAAAAACTCAAGCGTGGAAAAACATACCCTAGACCAAAGTACCCTCTCATCTCTAGGGGGGCTGGTCGGAACAGCAATATAGTAAGTTGTGATCTAGGTGGCACTAATGGCTAGTAAGGGGATTGATATGCTGCAATTTTAGGGAAGACACAAACAATTGAACTCACTTATACTCTCCAAAAGTGATAAATGATCCTTCTCTGAAAATCACACTTAACTCCTTCTCACATATTTTTTTATTAGAAGAGCTTCGAAAAGACCCTTTTTGAACCATTTTCCCATGAAATAACCATGTCTGGATTAGAACAGAGGAAAATAACTGCAAGTTTCGAATACGACAACAGCATTGGAGTCCGCAATTAATTTCTTCAGCTGATTCCACGGATTCTACTTTTACATATTTAAAGATTTCACGCGCTGATTATTATTGGCCTTCGAAACTTATACAATTCGACCTTGTAATGCTCGTGTTATATATATCTGACCTTGGATTGTGTTCCAAGTGATATGTGCAAAAGTGGCAGACACCTGGACTGCCTCCAGATCCACTGGGGGTCTGACCATATCACAGTAGTCCACTATCAGCTTGGGTCCAGCTATACAGCCAATATGAGTGGGCAGCACTACAGCACTGGATCCACTCTGGCTACTTCTACTGTTTCTGCTAATACCCGCAGTGGTGCCAGATGCTGATGACGCAGTCGCTGGTTGTGAATTAAGATGACCTTGAACTGACTCAGAGCCAGAAGAGGAACCTAAACGTAACAAAACCTATTAATAGCTCCCGGATCGACTATTTTTTTCGTCAATTCTAGCTCCACGAATTTCAGACCAGGGAAAATATCAGCAGTGAGAGAGAAATGGTACTCTAGTTTGAGTAACCCTAACCATGTATTTTGTAGTTGTTTTCATTGTTGTTGTTGATCTCAATGTCACTGTTTGTTGTGTCGATGAGTAATTGTGGCGGTGTGTGATTGAGTTGTTGTTGTTGTTGTCCCACCGGATGGTCAGTGAGTGCAATCAGGCGCACACTCACCGTCTCCCCCAACAACACGTCCTCCATCCTGTAACTCAGACACTCCCCACCCATTAGGGGGCTGAACTCACTCTTTTCCCTGTCTTCGCGCACTAACACGTAGCCCTGAAGCAATACGAAGATAAAAATACAAAACAAATTGCTGTATTGTGTTTAACTTAGATCTTGTTAACTACAACCCCCCCCCCCACTGTTTCAATGGAGCAATTGGTACAATAGATGCAAAACTCGTAAATGCTTAAATTAAAAAAGGTCTTTTATAAGAGTAAGAAAGTCTTTATTACCACCATTGAAGGGTAGGGGGAAATGATTATCAAAATCATTCAACTTTAATTTGCAAGTTTCCTATATTTATGTTAGCTTTTTATATTGAATGGTTATATAATTCAAGTTTGTTTTTTTCCTTTCGGAGACCTATAAACAGGTTGCTTCACTTTTAACCAAAATCCGCCATTTTTGCTGAATGTACGCGTTTTCGTGCGTTTGCCGATGTTGTGACACGAAGCGATACTCTTATTTGGCGAGTTTCAGCCAAAAACATTTCATAAATTGCTGATTTTATTGGACTTATTTTGGACTATAGTTTGAATTTTAGATCTATTAGTTCAAACCCGGGCAAAATGATAATAACTTTGTTTTCAAAAAGGGAAAAATTGTATAATTTTTTTAAAATTTTTTTAAAGTTTTCTCGAGCCGGGCAGTAAATATCTGACATATTTGTTTTCAAATATAGAACAATTAAAAAAACTTAAGCAAAAATTTTATAAAAAATCTGCCTTGGAAGAAGGCCAAGAAACCCATTTAGTTTCAAAGTAGTTTTTTTGTCTGTGTGCGAATTTGGGTTACAATTGACTGACCGAAACTAGTGCATTCCCCACTGTGGTTGCTGGCTCCCACTCCAGATCAATGCCTCTGTTGTCCATGCCGGCCACAGTCAGTCGGGGGGAGAGGGGAGGGGCGGAGGGGGTCACTTGGGAGAGGGGGGACAGTTGGGATCGGATAGGGCAGGTGGCCGACACGCCATAAGGTTCCACTACACTTGTCCCACACTCGCACTACACAAGAAGGAGGTCATGAGAAAGACAGACAAGAAAAAAGCGGGAGGGGGGTGATTGTTCTAGATAATAAGAAATTTTACACCTACTAGTTGTCAAAATAACAAAATAACAAAAAATTTGATGTTTATAAATCAAGGAAAATGTATTCATCTCTGTTCGTCAAAAAGACAACGAAGTTTGTTGCTATTCTAAGCAGTGGGTAAAATGGGCGTCAATAAATTGCTGCGGTTCATTGAGTTTCTACAATCAGGAGGCAGAAAACACGTTTTGATCAACAATGGTCAACTAAAGAGTAGATTTCGCCAGTGCGATAGTGGCAATGCTAAGTTGGCTCTTATTTTCTAGTTTTTCTCAAATTTATCCAAAAAAAAACATGTTACACCAAAAAAACTCCAAAAAAAAACACTTTAGATTTCGCAATTGCAATTGTTTTAATAAAAGTTCGCAGTTAAAATCCAACCCATGTTCGAGAAAGGAGCCGCATTTCCATAATGGTGCAAAAAAATTTTCGCGAGTGTCTAAATATGGTAATTTAAAAAAGAATCATTGAAATAAACAGCAAATGAAACTTTTTTTATAAAAAACTTTCTTTAACGAAGTGTCCAGGAACTTGATTTCCAATATTTTTCTATATTTTGTTTCAGTGCAATTTAGAGTACCTTAAATTAATGTCAGATCAAAGAATCGATCGATTGTTGTTATATCACAGCAAAATATTTTCAAGTGTGAAACAAGCAAACCAAAAACCTCAAAGTTTGTTCAAATCTGAAATGAAAATAACAAAACTGCTCGTATCAGGGCAAAACTCTAAATGTTCCGACTGCCTTTTAAGGTTGATGGAGCAGTAAAAACATTTAAAAAAATAAAAGTATTAAAATAAAATGAACTTTTTTTTTTGAATTTTTTTAACGAAAATCATCCTCCCACACGCCATATAAAGTACAAAAGAATCGATTTTGATCTTTGTAACAAAACAATTATGGCATATAAGCTCCTTTCAACCAATTTGGAACGACTTGAAAGACGGATTAAATTTCCGCTTACGCGTTAATAGCACGAAATATATCGCGCGTTTATTGAGCCAAGTTGGCCAAAATGGCAATCTTTAAACCCCCATAAATTTACAAAAAAATCACAGGTGAAATATCTTTTCAAATTTAAGCTCAAGACAGCAACACTTTGTGAATGATATTAAAAAAATCCCGTCAAAAATGGCTAGTTAAAATGTCGAAATTCGTCTGAAGAAGAAAAAGCCCACCCCGAGCACAAATATTCCGTTACTTTCGTGTCAAAAGTCGGCACAAAAAGAAATTTAAAACCGATTTTTGAAGAAAGTGTGACGCAATGATGACTGAGATCAAAATCCATCAATTGAAGGAAAACGAAAAATTGGTTTTTATAACGCCAGTCAAAACTTGAAAAATTTGTATAGAGTTGAACTACTTTTTTTTGTGAGCGGTGAAAAATTCATCTTCAATCTTCCTATTGTCTGCAAAAGAGTCTATTTTTTGTGATATTCTAAAAAAGGTATACAAAAGTTGATTTTAACAGGTGCGAACAAAAAATTTTCAAAAGAGTTCGTTTTCAGTCAATTTTTTTGTGCAATTACAAAATTCGAATGATATATTTCATTTTTTTCTACCACAGCTTGTAATCAGTTCAATTTCCTTGTATAGCAAAAATTTTTTGTGATATTGTCTGAACCATTTCTGATTTTTGTACTGAAATTTTCCGGTAATATTAGTAACCGATATTAGAAAACTCATACTAGTCAATTAGTTTTACCAAATCACTTTGTAAGTTTCTGTCGCATTTCTTGCAAAAAAAATCAGAAAGAATGATGCCGTGGAGAAAAAGCAATGCAAAACCTGTCAAATTGGGGGCATAAATTGTTTGAAAAACAGTTTTATGCGCGTTTTACGGACCGCGGTTAACAAACTGATGGTTTAGTAGTTTTTGCAACGCTCAAATTTTTGTACACACCGAAAAATTTACCTGTTTTACATGGGTACAAAAAATACTTTTTCAAGATGCACACACTGATTCGAAATACAAATAAGGTAGGAAACGATTCAGTAATACTTATATATATTTTTTCAATCTCGCATGTCTGGTGACCATTAAACCTAATGATTCTAATTCGCCCTTGAAACTTTTCATCAGCGAGCGCGGCAAACAGCAACTGAAACCATGAAGATCAAACAATTAATCTGAACCAACGTGAAGCAGTCACAAGCAAATCTAGCTGTATAACCACTATCAAAGATGAAACGATCAAAACTTCCGGATATTATTGTCACCAAAATACTCCATACGAGGCGCAACTTCAAGAGTTTGGATTGGTACCCTTTTACCGAAAATAGAAATACACGCACAATTCAGAAATCAGTTTTTGCTCTGACTCTCATTCCAGAGCTTGATTCCGAAAACGGTATCACTGCTTTGTGCAGTTAACTTTGCAAGTTAGACGAATCCCCCTATTGGACTCTAAGAACAATTTCGAAACAACATGAGTCGGAACAGTTCTTCGGGGATGCAGGGGAGGGGGACACTTTCCCATTAATTTGTGGATTCAGTTCGAGAAAGCTAGTGTAAACAAAAGATCAACAACTCAGTAGAGGGCTGGTACAGGGTTCTTATTCCAGATGGAATAAGGGTGCGCCCGCTCCTCGATTCATAATTTTATTCTTCTTTTGAAGAAAAAAGAAAGCCTTTCGGAAGTTGGGCTTGCCCTCATTTCCGCTGGAGAAAATGCTGCAAAAGTGACCAAACTTGAAAAAACCATTTGCGATTTTTTAAGTTGAAAAATCAAAAAATTATACATAATTTAAAGAAGCTTGAGGGTCCTCTTGAAATTTTTGATTTTCAGTTTGCTTTCTTATCTTCAAATCTTTCATATCGCCTTCTTATGATCTGATCAAAGGTTTTCTCCGCTAAGAATGCAATTCAATTCAATTCAATTATTCCTAATCACTCACTGCATCAGGATAGCTAGAACAGGCTTTTCAACCTAACAAGTAGCTACCCTCCACCCTAACAAGTAGCTACCCTCCGATAATGCTACGAGCAGCCGTTTGCTGCTATAGGTAGCTTTTTATAAACCTAGTCGAGATCCCGATGAAAAACTGCTCTTGCTATGCGCGGTTTGAGTGGTTATTTTCAATCATTTTGCTCAAATCTCCAAAACCTTTCAAAACCACTCCGACTCTTAGCATGAAACAGTCAAATGGATCAAACTATAGCAGGAAATATACAAACCACACAATTCGTGAGCTTGTTTTTACCCCGAAAGTATGTATTTGTTGCAAAATAAAACCAGCTCTATTTGTAACCAGCTCTATAAAATTTGAAGATTATTTCAATACGAAACTAAAGTTTCAACCAAAATTTAGCTTTGAACTTTTAGAGTCCAAGAAATTGTTCAGAGATGATTACGTCTTGCTTATTCTGAAGCAAGCTTTTCAGCGTAATCGTCTGAAAGAAAAACGTTTATATAACTCAAAATTAGCTTGCACTTTTGCTGAGAACCCGGGAAATCGGGAAGTTGGACCATGTTGCAGCGCAAATATGAAACAATAGTATAAATGCATATGAAACTGAACCAAAATATTAATGCATTTAGGGACAGTAGCCAAGTGTATACATGGTGCGTCCCGGCGGGTTCGGCGCCGGTTCGAATCCCGACTAGGTCATTTCCTTTCTAGAACTCGAATATGCACCGAGCTTGATGGGATGCTCCGTAACCAGGTTCGATCCCCCCCAAAACCGTCTTTTCACTCTAATTTGGTTCAGCCTTGATTAAGGCTGACCTTTGAAAAAAGCAATTTGTCTCAAGGATAAATACTGGCCATTTTGCAGCTTGCTTTGAGTTATGCAGTTTATTGTGGCCGATGTTACCGATGATAAAGCTTGTTAAAAATTATAAATTATCGTTATATTTTCAAACTTCCGGAGTTATTTTGCCGAGAAAATACTCATTAGTAAAAGTGTTTAAAAACCGTTTTTTATATAATCGTGGAGATTGACGCGCACATTTTGGCGCCCCACAAGGGACACTTTTTGATCTCTATTTCCCGAATTATCAGCCTTTGCACCCCCTCCCCTTTTTCCTTCGGTTGAAATTGGCAGCTAGGGAAAACAAGGGACGCGAATTCAGCCTAAGTGTCGTGATAAACTTATTAAATAGGTGGTTTGGTGTGCCTCCGTTAATGAAATTATTAATTACAATCGTTATCAGGCCAAGAAGTGTGAACTACTTATTTTGGCTCGGATATTTGGTTAAATTATACCAACGAAGTGTTCGTTTCACTTAATAATTAAGTCATCATTAGTCCTGTTCAGCCTTACTAAAGGGCATCAAGATATCATCGAAAACGTTTTTCTTTTGAAGGGTCGCTTTGCCTTCATTTGCAATATTTTGTATTCGAGTAACGAAGCTGTACTTAGTCTTGGAAACTGTCGTTTGTCTACATACTCATATCTTGAGTTCGAAGCACGGACTTTTGGGTCGTCGCCAACTTTGATTGGACCGAATATTTTTGTTGATGAAGCTGCCTGCTGCAAATATAGTCGAGACTTCAGATGAATCACCAGAAGTCCTCCTCCCAGCCCCACCTCTCGAGTGAGTTGGCCGAAACAGAGTCAAGTTGTGCTGTTGGCCGAAAGCCGAAACAGAGTGAAGTTGTGCTGTTGGCCGAAAGAGTGTAAAGTTGGCCGAAACAGAGTGGAGTAGTGCAGTTGTTCAGACTCGTGAGAGAAATTTCTGGTGCCGAAAATCTCCAAAACCGTCAAAAAACTGTAAGACTATTCTAATTTTTACAAACTTGCAAAAAAATTACGTACGATGTGTTAATGTCTTATTGTGTATCCCAACTCAAAGCAAGCTACGAGTGGTAATTTTTCCGATACCACAAATTTTTGGGTAATTGTGAACGGATTGAAAATCCAGAAAATCGGATCATAGACAAGGGGTACTGGACTAGTTTTTTGGATTGGTTTATGACTCGAACCTGCTGACCAAAATTTTCCGAAAAATTTTGGGAAAAAGGTAAAAAAATTGCCAAAAATTTCTCAAAACGTCCCCATAATTCTGCGAAACTGTGCTGTAACGTGACACCAACCTTATGGTAAGTGGTCTGGTAGCGAAATATCAGGCAAATTAAGTTGAGTCTTTTCATCCTCAGGTTTTTTCCGCGTGTGTTGTTGGAACTTAACCAATTTGCCTGATCCCTCACCCACATTGGTGAAATTGAAAGCCAGTTCGCTTCAAGTAAATATAAGCCGTTTTAGCCCGTCCGACAATTGGCTTCGTTGCGCGACACTAATGTTAAGTGGTCAGGTACGGTGATATTAAGTGAGTTGAGTTGAATTCTTTCATCCTCAGGTTTACTCCGTGTGTGTTGTTGGAGTTCAACCGACCTACTTAATTCCCCCACCCCATTGGTACTTTAGCGAAACGTAGCCGTCTTATAGGTCTCTTGGTATTCATTCTAGGAGCTAGTTCCTTGGATCACGCGCTCCGTATACTATCCGCACCGTCTCAAAAGCGCGCGAAAGAGACTTGTTTCACAAAGCCCGGCTTAAGTTTTAACTTTAACGCCAGGGACTCGCAGAAAACTATCCAATACTATCTGCATCACTTTTTGTCGAATCGAAAAGATCTAGTTACTTGGCACGACGCCATAAATAACTCCATTAGTAAGCACCGCAGTAACAACAACCGTAGTTTGAGTACTGACCAACTTAACACCCTTCTTTTGAGATACAAGGAGAATATTACCGCTATTGTATACTGTCGCCGCAACGGTACAGACAATATAGAAAAAGAGTTGAAAAAAAACAGGTATTCTCGTTTTTAACATAGTTGAGGATTTTATCTCAAAGCGAAAGGTCAAAGACCAAATACTTATCGAAAAGTATAAAGAGCTGCACCAGCCCCCTTCCCTTGAGTTGAAGACTCTGTTGTTACTTAGACGATACAGTGCTGACCTAAGTACACTGAAAGCTAAGAAGAAGCGGAACCGTTTGTCGCCTAAAAATTGTAGAGCGATTCACAACAGACTTAAAGCGTTAAAACTTCAAGTTACTCCCCCTTGTAAGTTATGGGTGTATTAGAGTATTTTGTGGGTTTACTTGAGTTAAAATAAAGTATTTCCTGAGAGTCGTTTTTTTCTGAAAGAATTAAGCATGGAAGTTAAATTTCAAAAGAAAATTAAGAAGTTGTTTGAGAAACGTAGCAATCTCGAAAATGAACTTTATAAATGCCACGAAATAATTTTAGAATACATAGAGAGTCAGAGTCGTTGCTCAAAAATTGATACTTATATTGAAAAATGTAGGAACTATATAGAACAAGCGGTCGAGATAAATACTGAGTTGATTGATATGGCTGCAAAAAGTGCCAATCCCGACGAATTGATACCGGCACAGGATATGTGGCTTCATAAGTTGACTCAAAGCAACGATAAAGTTCTGCAGGAAGCTATCACATATAAAACAAGTTTTGAGCCAGTAACAGAGCCGGACAAAATTGATAGCAGCTCAAAATTTTTTCATCATTCTGAAAAAAGTGAAAAACCCCGGTCGCATAAAACAGATACCCGCTTTAAGTTGTCGCATCGAAGCAGCCGACATCAGCAATCGGGTTCTCAGAAATCTAGCTATACCGCCGCTCCGTCGAAAACACTTTCTGAGAAAAAGCGCGATTTAATGATTTTAAAGAAACAACAAGAGGAACTTGAGAGGCAGGCAAAGGTATCATTAAGACTGAAAGAACAACAAAGCCGTTTAGAGTTGGAAGAATTGGCTGAAGAACACAGGAAAAAACAGGCAGAAATTGATTTGAAAGGGCTTGAGTTAGAAAATGAGTTGTCGGAAATCAGCGAGAATGCTGAGGAAAGTGGTTTAACTCGAATCTCTCCACAACTAACAATAGACGAAAAGGATCGTACGCGTCACTGTGTCGAATCTGTCGACCACAATCAGCCTGATGCTGTTGTAGTTCCCAATCAAGAGCAGCACGTTGGTTCAACAGCTCCTGAGGCACTTTATCCTGCATCAACAAATTACTTGGTCTCATCAAGTTTTACAGGAGTGAATAATGGCCAGGCAGCTTCTAGTGATCCGGGATTGTATTACAGTAACCACATTCACGGACAACAACATAATTTGTCGAGTTTGGTCGGATCGCAGGTTTCCGTTAACAATCTAGTAGGGTTACAACAAGTCATTCAACCTGTTTCTAATAATTTGCCTCAGCAAACTCTGTTGTGCACTAATCCGGTGCTAGGCAATCCAAACACAGGGTCAGTAGTCCCGGTAACTTCTAAAAATTATTTTGCTGCGACAACATCTGCAGAAGTTTCTTCTGGTGTAGCACCGTTCGCTCCTGCATCAACAGCAGTTAATCATGATTCTTTAAGTCATCACACTACAGGGTCAGTAGTAGCTGGCTACCAAGCACCTGTAGTCCCATCACAACAACATATGGGTGTTCCCGTTAGTAGTTATATTTTTTCAAGTGACCACTATAATCCTTATAGTAATTTGTGGAGACCAGCTGTTGCTGCCCCTTTAATGTCAACTCAACAGCACGACGTTCCTTCGACAACTGTTTTTTCCGCAGTAACTCCGATTGTTTCCACGAATAATTTTGTTCCTTATACAAGTGGAGGGACTGTGTTCTTTGCGCAGCCTGAAAATTTTTCACATGCTAATCAACCGTTCGTTCCTGATTATCACGGTAATTCTTCGAGTTACACAGCGCCAACTCCCGGTAATTCACCTGGTGCAGACGTCGAGCATCCACTTTCGACAAGAGAGTTGGTTAATATACTCATGCACAGCCGAAAAGATCATCTGCCTGAGTGGAAGTTGATCCAGTTCGATGGCAACCCACATAATTGGCATGAGTGGTTTGGGCAATTCAAATCGACGGTCGATTCAGCCATACTCAGTAAAGATGAAAAGCTTACCTATCTGAAAACGCTCGTAGTGGGTAAAGCAAAAGCCGCAATCGCTGAGTATAGCTATAGCGGAGTACTATATGAAGACGCATTAGCAACTCTTCAAAGAAAATTCGGGCAGCCGCATGCTGTAGTAGGGGCTCATATAGATGAATTGAGTAATTTTCTGCCGCTGAAAATGCATAATTCGGAAAATGTAAATGGATTTTCCTCTGCAATTTCTGGACTTGTTGCCGTATTCAAGTCCCTGTCTTTTAACGACGACCTGAAAAGTGTTAATTTACTGAATCAAGCTGTGAGTAAGCTTCCCCCGAACCTTAAGGAGGCTTGGTCAATGCAAACCGTAAGACGCCAATGGTATATACCAACTCTGCTAGTTTTCAACGAATGGCTTAAAGAAAAAGCGGAGGGTCATGAGAGGCTAAAAACGATCAATTCTAAGGGTAAGTCTGAAGAACCAGTTAAGCAAAAAGTAGGTACGAAAGTGTTTGCTGGTAACGCAAATGTAAGTAATAAGACTAAGGAAAAACCAAAGTACTCTCCATGTTCTGTATGTAAAGGTCAACACGCTCTTTGGAATTGCGCCGTATTGAAAGAGAAAAACGCTACGCAACGAGCGAAACAGGTAGCCGAAAAAAAACTTTGCTTTGCGTGTTTACAGAGCAATCACAGTTTTCGTAATTGTAGAAAGGCCAGAAAGTGCCCCAAGCCAGATTGTGAAAGCACGCACAACGTGCTCTTACATGGAGCTGAGAAAATTTTTCCTCCTAAAGATACTAAAAGTTCCCCGGCGTCAGGTAACGCAAACTCTAAACATGTATCGACTAACGCTGCCATCGGCGATATTCATAGCCAGGAGTCAAATAAAGGCCTCCTGCCAGTTGCATCACTCGCCGTCTCTTCGGATGCGACAATTAATAATGCCCTAGCTCTTTGCGATAGTGCTTCCACGCACTCATGGGTATCCGCCGATCTCGTAAAACGCCTCCATTTGGTTGGCACTCCCGTTAACCTCACTTCAAATGGATTCAATTCCACGAGCTTGATGAAAACTCAGCAAGTAAATTTTCAAGTTTCCGCCGAAACGCATAATAGTGAATTTTCGTTTTCTTTTCGAGCTTATGTTAAAGATCATATTCGTATTGGATCGGATATTATAAGCATACCTAAATTACAGGAAAAATACCCGCAGTTGGCTCCGATCAAACCTAGACATTATAAGTATGAGGACGTCGAAATAATTATTGGACAGGATTTCTACCATGCCATAAGACCCGTTGAGTACCTTTTGGGGGAGGACTCTATTTCACCGTGCGCCGTACGCCTTCCAATAGGTTGGGTTTTAAGTGGTCCGTTACCGCCGTTACCGTGTGTTGTCGAAGACATGTTTCTTGCGGACCAAATTAAAACTTGGTATGAGTTGGAGTCATATGGAGCCTTCAAGCAGGTAGATGCCCGTTCCGCCGCCGACAAACGCGCTTTGTCCGTTTTGAAAAATGACACCTTTCACGATGATGAGAGGTACATTGTACCAATGCTTTGGAACGATAAGGAAAGTAGTTTACCGAATAATTTATTTTTCCTCCTTAGCTCAATTAAAGTCTTGGAAAAGAGGCTAGATAAGGATCCGTCACTCCGTGAAAAATACGCCGAAACAATAAGAGAAGATATACAAAAAGGATATGTCATAACCGTTTAGGCACACGATCCCAAATCACGAGCCGATCGTGAGTGGTATCTCCCGCATCACCCGGTATTGAACCCGAATAAACCCGGTAAGGTGCGCCGAGTCCTCAATGGGGCATCGAAGTGTCATGGCGCTTCCTTGAACAAACAAATTTCTGTTGGTTGGCCCTGATCTCCTTCAAAACCTCATTTTTGTACTTTTAAGATTCCGTCAGCATGAATACGCCGTTTCAGCTGACATTGAAGGGATGTTTTTACAGGTTGGAGTCCTTCTCTTTGTTTTTTGTGGCGGGAGGACCCCACATCAAGTGTGGTAGTTCACCAATATACGCGTCACATTTTTGGTGCTCGTGACTCGCCGACTTGTGCGAAATTTGCTTTGCAGAAGACTGCATCGGATAATCAAGCTGAGTACCCCGAAGCTGCTTCGGCTGTTGTCCAGAAATTTTATATGGATGATTATCTGGATTCTTTTCAAAACAGGGATGACGCCTTGAAATTAGGTAGGGATTTAATCTCGTTGCTTAAACTAGGGGGGTTTTGTCTGACAAAATTTGTCAGCAACGTGCCCGACGTAATAACCGCTCTTGATCCGGACAACCGTGAGTCCAATTCCTCTGTTAAAGATATTTGTGCGAGTCCAGAACAGTCGTCGCATGTTCTCGGTCTTAAGTGGGAACACGTAAAAGACACCTTAGTCGTTAGTAAAGGGGTTGATCGTCCACTAGACAAAGCAATCACACAGCGTACCGTGTTGAGTTTTGTTTCCTCTGTTTTTGATCCATTTGGGTTAGTGGCTCCGTATACCGTGAAGGCTCGCCTTCTATTAAAAGATATCTGGCGAATCAACGGTCAAAAATGGGACGATGATCTGCCAGAGGAAATCAAAAAGCAATTTCTTGAGTGGCACTCAGGTCTTCATTTGTTAGGTTCTCTGACAATACCTCGCAGCTATTTCACTGAACCTTTCGACCTAATAAAACTTCAAATGTTCGGTGATAGTTCGCAGGATGTTTTCTGTGCCGTCGCTTTCCTTCGTGCGCGACTTGTTAGCTCCCATCAGACCGAATTAGCCTTTGTGTTTGGCAAAGCCCGCGTCGCGCCTATGAAAGCGCTTTCTATTCCAAAGTTAGAGCTTCAAGCGGCTCTTCTTGCAACCCGCTTAAAAGAAGAAACTTTGAAAGGTCTCACTTTCAAAGTTATGGATATTTTCATGTGGACAGATAGTACCACTGTTCTCCAGTGGCTTCACTCTTGTAGTAAACTACCCGTTTTTGTTGGTAATCGCACTGGTGAGATTCTGGAGTCTACCACCACTGATCAGTGGCATCACATACTTAGCGGTGATAACCCAGCTGATACCGGTACACGAAGGATTTCTTCGGAAGCCCTCAAGGAAAGCAGTTGGGTTGATGGCCCTAGTGTATTGAGAACAACTGATCGGCCGTTCAAGCCCGATACAAGGGTTATTGATAAAATAAGACTCAAAGACCATCATGTGATATCGACATTTGTCTGGAAAACTCGTCAAATTTCGTCGTCGATGTTTTGACAGAAAAAAAATCTTCTCTTCGGAAAATGGGAGAGATTCAATTCAATTGTAAAATACAAACGCGCAGTAGCATTTTTGTTAAGATGGCTGAAATCCCATAAACATTTCCGGTCGAGTATATTAGAAATTACAGACACGTCTGAAATGGATATTGCTGAACAGAAGCTCGTTTACCTGTCCCAGGGTGAGACATTCCCTAGTGAGCTTAAACTACTGAGATCCGGTAAAGTTATCACAAGGAATAGTCGGATCGCCAAGTATTCGCCGTTCATTGGACCAGCTGGCATCCTTCGCTCGACTGGGCGCATCAGCCGCTTGGTTAACTCCGATTTCGATAGCAAGCATCCGATTATAATTGATGCACGTCACGCGGTTGTTCGGTTATTGGTTCAACACTTGCACGTTAGGAATTTCCATCAAGGCTTGGATTACATGCGTGCGGTGGTTAATTTGAAGTACGTTGTGTTAAATTTGCGATGGTTGCTGCGAAACATCAAAAATACTTGCGTTGTGTGCCGAAAACGCAAAGCGCAAACCGTAACTCATATGATGGCTGATCTGCCCATTGAAAGGCTGGGTTACAGGCAACCTCCTTTCTCTAACGCAGGTGTCGACTACTTCGGGCCGTTCCTAGTTCCAATCCGGAGAAGTACGGAAAAGAGGTGGGGTTTTTTGTTCACCTGTCTCACCACTAGAGCCGTTCACATTGAAGTGGTCCCCTCGCTCGACACAAGCTCTTGTGTGATGGGCGTGGAGCGGTTTATCGCACGTCGCGGTACTCCGACTACCATCATGTCCGACAACGGCACGAACTATGTTGGCGCTCAGAAAGAGCTCATAGCTTGCGTTGAGAGTTGGAACAAGCTCGCACCCGCTGTTTTTGTTCAGAAAGGGATCCCGTGGAATTTCAATCCACCCAGCGCACCGCACCATGGTGGGTCCTGGGAGCGATTAGTTCGGAGTGTCAAGCGCGTTTTGTATGACATCTTAGGCAACAGAAGAGTAACTGAGGAGGTGCTAAGAACCACGCTATGCCTTGTTGAGCAATCACTCAGCGCTAGACCGATAACAGCCGTTAGTTCCGATCCGCTAGATCTAGAGGCGTTGACCCCGAATCATTTTATTCTTGGTCAACACGCAGCGAGTTTTCCGTCGCTAAGTTTCGAAAAAAAATTCGACCATAAGAAGCGGTTTGCCAGAGCGCAATCAGACGCTAACGCAATATGGACACGGTGGATGCGGGAATACGTTCCTTCCCTCAATAGGAGGGCAAAGTGGCACAACCAGTCAGACATTAAGTTGAAAGCCGGCGACTTGGTTTGGGTCATAGAGCCTGACACTCCACGTGGACATTATCCACTCGCACGTATCCTAAGACTGCACTATGGCAAGGACGGATGCGCGAGATCCGCCGGCATAAAGACCGTTACGAGCGAACTGACCCGCCCGACCGTAAAGCTCGCTCCCGTTCTTCCTTGTTTAGGGGTGGAGGATGTTGCAGAGCAACTATAAAACAATAGTATAAATGCATATAAAACGTAACCAAAACATAAATGCATATAGGGACAGTAGCCAAGTGTATACTTGGTGCGTCCCGGCGGGTTCGGCGCCGGTTCGAATCCCGACTAGGTCATTTCCTTTCTAGAACTCGAATATGCACCGAGCTTGATGGGATGCTCCGTAACCAGGTTCGATCCCCCCCCCCCCAAAAAAACCTATTTTAACCGTCTTTTCGCTCTAAATTGGTTCAGCCTTGATTAAGGCTGACCTTTAAAAAGAGCAATTTGTCTCAAGGACAAATACTGGCCATTTTGCAGCTTGCTTTGAGTTATGCAGTTTATTGTGGCCGATGTTACCGATGATAAAGCTTGTTAAAAATTATAAATTATCGTTATATTTTCAAACTTCCGGAGTTATTTTGCCGAGAAAATACTCATTAATTAAAGTGTTTAAAAACCGTTTTTTATATAATCGTGGAGATTGACGCGCACAGACCAGTTTTTCCTTGCGATGATTTGTCGCTTACGCCGAATTGTTACCTTACAAAATTGGCGACTCACTAAAGTAAATTACCATAGAACGCCAGTTTACATATCTGTCACTCACTTGCACAAACACATTGTACGTGTCTCCGATCTTCAAATTGCGAATGGGGTATTCGAACATCTTCCCAGTGGGATCTCTCTTGAGATCATTCACCCCCACCCTCCCATGCATCACCCCGGTGTTGTTGGGGGGACTAGAAGAAGCCACGCCCACATAAACCATGTAACAAGTGGGCGACTCCCACGTCTCCTTATTTCCATCCTCCGCTGGCCATGTGACAGTCACGTGACCCAGTTGCGACTCCTCCCGGATAGATACAGAGGGAGCGGGGGGCTCTCGCGGGGTCCGAATGGTGACCGGGTGGGATTGTGGGCTGTTTCCGACAAAGTGGCTGGTCAGCATTTGGATCGTGACAACATGTCTCATGCCTGAAATCAAAATAAACATCAAAATAAACACTTTTTTATGAAGTTTGTTCATAGTTTAAGAAAAATAAGCAACCATCTTACAGAAAAGCTGAATCAGAATGATTGGAAGGAAAAAAACTCAAAATTAACTCCACTACTTTATCCATATTTAACAAACAAGAGAACAGACAAAATAGCCACAATTATAAAAGACTAAATCATAAACATAGTGATTGATTTGATCTTTAATTGTTTTAACAATGAGCTTGGATTTGTTTAATTTTGAGTAAAATTCTGATCTTTGTCTCAATCTACCTGGTTTGAGGTCCGTCAATGTTACTTGTCTGGCGTTTGGGGGTAGTGTTGTATGAAGTGTCCCATTGACGAAAAGAGAGAAACCATCAGTCTCTCTCTGTTGCTGTTCATGCATACTATCTCCATCTGCGCCTGATGCTGATGATGCAGAGGTCGACACAGTCCATTGCACAGTCGCCTGAAAAGAGATCAGTTCCTGATTGCCCAAAATGTTTACCCAATAATTCAATTCCAGCCATTCATATAGGACTCTTATATCTAGCGAAATCGGAATATCATAGAGAAACGTATGTGCTCCTCGTGTTTAAGTCACCATGATTGAAACTCTTGCTACAAAAATCGTTGCCAAACCACTTGGCAGCAATTTGAAAAGAAGCAACATTCGGTCTCAGCAGAACCAGTGATCTTAGTGAAGTTTCAGACTAAGTGATGGTGTGTTCGTAAAGTATGTACCTCCTGCAAGTCGGTCGATTTGATTGACAGGTTGAGTGCCTCAGGGGGTCCCAGAGTGGTGTGAGTCACCTTGTCAGACCACAGAACAACCCCCTCCTCCTCTTCCTCTTCTTTTTCTTCTCTTTTCTCTCCAGTCCCAGTTGGGTTCTGGTGGCAAAACGATTCTATTAGTTTTTCCCGTAATAATAAAAATCATTTTAGCACAGAACCCAAATTTTGTTCAAAATAAATATTGATAACGGTTAAGAGAATATCAAAATTTAGCAGTCTCAAGCTCAAGTATAAAAAACTGGATTATCACTTTTTAAATCTAAAACTACAAGAGAAAATGGGGTGAAAAATAAGGCCCTTACAGCAAAAAAGCAACATGAAACTTGTCTTAAAAATCTTAAAGTTAAGGCATTGGTAAAAAATAAAGGTAAGACATCATCTTCATGATGGATAATACTGAATCATTTCTAGGCTAAATTCTAATTTTCATTTCATATATGTACCTGTTTGTGATGCATTAGTTGTGATGATCTCTTTAGTCTGATTCTGACGGAGACAGAAAAAGTGTAGGTGCAGCGCGGAAGGAGAGGAGGAATAAGTAACTCTGAGACCCCGCCACGGGGGGACACCTGCCAATTGTGACGCGTCTGCTGTTGCTTCCTCCCCCCACTTTCAACGTGGTCACCGCCACTGCCAGTGGTTGATCTACAAATCAACTATGTTACAGAGCGACAAGAATAGGTTGTTTTTGAACACGTAGCAGAAAAATCTGAGAACAGTTAAATTTGCTGTTAAAAACATTTTAGAAATAACTTTTGCATTTTTTTTTGGAATTTCTGTTGTATTTAAGGTTACGTATTGACTGAAATTGATTTTTAAGCCATTTAGTAAGAGCCTGATTGACTATGAAAATATTACTTTCATTTGCTTAAAATGGTATTGAATTTTGACGTAAAAATGAACAACCCGAAGTTGCAAATCCTGACGGCATATGTAGATACTGATGCCATCATTTTTTTTGGAAAATTTTGGACATGCGAGGCCCAGCAATCATGGAATATTTGCGAAAGTAGGGCAATTTTTCGAAACTATATGTTTTCGTGGGCGTCGGACATCTGATTAGACACAACAGTTATCCAAAAATGAACACAACAGTTTTTTTTCTACACTCTTCTTCGAAATAATTTCGTTTTTCCAGCGTTCTATGCTGAGAAAACTTTTGAAACGCGTAGAAAAACATTAAGTTGAACATAAATGAGCATATTTGTGTTCCAAGTTTAATTAATGAACAAGAAAACTTGAAGAATTCTTAAACTTTTTTTGTTCCGACTTTCGATACGAAAGTAACGGAATATTTGTGCTCGGGGTGGGTTTTTTTTTCTTCAGACAAATTTCGACTTTTTAACTAGCCATTTTTGACGGAATTTTTTTAATATCATTCGAAAGGTATTGTTGTCCTGAGCTCAAATAACGGAATGGTTGTGCTCGGAGTGGTTTTTTTCTTCAGACAAATTTCTATTTTTGAAATAGCCAATTTTGACAGATTTTCAAATTATCATTTAAAAGGTATTGTTTTTCTGAGCTTACATATGAAAATATTTCTCAATTTCTCACCTGTGATAGTTTTTCCTAAAGTTATGGGGGTTTAAAGATTGCCATTTTGCCCAATTTGGGACAATTAACGCGCGATATATTTCGCGCTATTAACGCGTAAGCGGAGAGTTAATCCGTCTTAGAAATCGTTCCAAATTGGTTAAAAGAAGCTTATTCGCCATAATTGGTTTGTTACAAGGAGCAAAATCTATCTTTTTGTACTTTTTATGGCGTGTGGGGTGATGATTTTCATTAAAAAAATTTCAAATTTTAGAAGAAAAAAAATTTCATTTTATTTTTTCTTAAATTTAATTTTCTAATGTTATTACTGCTCCATAAACCTTAAAAGGCAGTCGGAACATTCAGGGCTTCGCCCTGATACGAGCAGTCTTGTCTACTTTTGTGAACAAATTTAAAAAAAAAAAAACTCTAAAGCCAAAAAACGCTAACTGAAGCATTCAAAACTGGTGTTCTCTACGTATTATGAAATTTTCTCAGCCTAATGGACCTGTTCATGTATAACTAATATGACTCGATCGCTTTAATTGCTTCAAAAACGTCAAATTGCTTCAAAATTGATTAAATTTCAAAAACGTCGAGCCTCAAGAAAAACGTCTGTTTTCCTGAAACAACTTTACGAGAAATGTTTACTGTCGTTTGAATCACGGCTGAAAAAAATTCTAATACGATAAATTAATCAAACTATTCTGATAACTATTTGTGGTACGTAATTTCATATGAGGAAAAGAGAAAAAAAACTTTAAAAAACCAGAAGACAAAGTTCCTATCCATTTTCAATGATCAGAACAGCAATCAAAACCCCTATTTGATTCTCGGTAGATGTGACACTATTAGATCTGGCTTTTCAGCTTAATTTGGACACTAAAACAACATAAAATGATGATGTTCTTTTAACGTTAAATTTCTATCGGAGCTGAATAATTTTTTTCCTCAGACAGATTTTAGCTCAGGAAAAAAAACTAAAAACAAAAATTTTTTTCGATCGAAGGGAATAAAGTGCTTGGGTTAGTTTTTCTTCTATATATATTTTCTTTCTTAACCAACCGTTTTGGGCAGAATAGTTCCATAAAATCTGAAAAATTTTTATGTCCAAAACTCAAAACTTGAAAAAAAAACGTCAGCTGAGACTAGGTGCGCTTAACTTATGGGATTTTGAATATGGAGTACTTTGATAACTAAAACTAAAAGGAGACCTTGAACGCGCGAGTTTTGTTTTTTTTTTCCTATTAAAATGTACGTTTTTAATCTACTTTAAAGGGCAGTCGGATTCTGACGCTGATACGATCAATCTTGTTTTGGTATAGTGGCCATTTTGTCTCCTTTATTACAATATTTATGAATTTTTTATTTTCCTAATTGGGAAGCTTTATTCAAATAATAGGTTGATAGTAGTTGTGAACTTGTCAGTTACGAGACAACTCTTGTATTTTAAAAGTATGGTGGTTATGAGTGCGTAATTCAGCCCATCGACAAGCCCCAAGGAGAAATTATTGCAGAAAAAAATCTGCAATGGGACAAATCATGTTAATTGAAAATGTACGGCAAAATTTGAGAATTATAGAAAAAATTTTTGTCAATTTTTTCCAGCAAAAAAAATATTTAAATGTTGTTTTTAGTTTCTAAGTATTTGACTGTTAATTCAGGAAGATTAATGGCATTTTCCACTACCGAAATTTTTTTTTTTGAAATTTGTTCTACAAATTTAATAGCGCAGTTAGGTGAGAACAGAACATTTTGTGAGACTTGCAAAGAAGTTGCCTCATTATGAGAACCTTTATAAGAATTTATTATGACTATTTTTAAAATGGATAATTATCGGCCCAATTCAGTCAAAGAAAAATACGCAAAAACTAACTAGCCAATTTTGAAGCAAATTTGATCAACATGAGCGTCCTATTTAGCCCAATTTATCTTAAAAAAATTTAATTTTGGAAACTTTTTTCTTAAAATCTCAACTTTTTGTGGGAAATTTATTTAAGGAAGCTTCTCAGACTTCCAGACATAATTTGCGATTTACGGAAGAGCTGTGAAAAGCTATCCACCATGTTTGAGCATAGACCATTTTTCCTACTCCTCACACTCGCATCGTCCTCACACTCGCATCGGAATGATATTGCTAATCAAAGCTTTTTTTGCTACCGAAGGCCGTTTTTTGCGTCCAGAACTATCAGGTAGAACCAATAGTGCAGCCGAATTCGGTCAATTAGCCTTACTACAAATCATTGCCAAGGCACGGGATCGAATACACAATTTTACGATCGGCGTTCGTTGCCACCAAGCGAGGATTTAGGAGGGGGCTGGGTGGAAGTTCCTTCCTTCTCCCAGGGAATCGACCCCCTGCCGACCCAAACGGTACCCCCTTTGTACTATTTTGAGATATTTTTTGGTCAAAATTTTTTAAAAAGTGCCTAAAAACGCCTCTTTTGGCCGGTTTTTCAAATTTGTGCCTGCGACGCAGAAAATTTGGCCAAAACAGGGTCTTTTTAGTGCTTTGGGAGAGCTCGGAAAATCAATTCGGTCGACCTAAAAAAAAGATCGACAAAAATTTCGAAAATTTTTTTGAAAACCCGCCCCCCCTCGAGAAAATCCTAGATCCGCCCCTGATTGCCATTATGTTAAGTTTTTGCAGCTTTTCGAAAACTTAAAATATAATCTTTACAAATACGGCCTTTTGATGTTTCCATATTTGCTATCAAAAAAAATCACACCAAACATGACCCGATTGTAAGAACAAATTTTGATCGAGTAGCCTGCAAAACAAATAGCATCGGATTGTTTATGGTAAAATACAAGACAACTTTTGTCTTTTTTGTGTTCATCATTGAGCCTTAAAAATGAGTGTATCTGTATCTGGACAAGTTCGCAGACTCTCGTGGGAGTAAAGGCAACCTTCTCCTTGAGGGGCTTTATGGGCCGTTAAATTATAACTGACTGCTGTTTGTCATATCTACTCACTAAACAACTCAAATCAAATCAGTATTACAGTTAATAAGCGTCTTTAGATTTGTTTTTTAAAATACTAACGTGAAGTGACTGTTGTAGTTGGGTGGAAAGTGGAGTCCCTCTACGGAGAACACGACCTCCTCATCCTCCACCCCCACTAATACACCTGTGATCGGAACAGTCTGTGTCTGTATCTGGGGGATGTTCAAGTGGAACAGTAGTCCCTCTTCTGATTCTCTCACCAAATTCAATTTTGGCTTCTGCTTTTTCTGCAACAACATCACAAAACATCTGTTTAGTGTTTATTACACAACTTCTCAAGCGTGATTTGAGCATTTTGAGTGTTTTACAAATACCGTTCAAAAACATAACCTTTTGAACTTCGATTTTCAAGCCTGATTTGAGCATTTTGAGTGTTTTATAAGTACAGTTTAAAAACAGCTCATTTTGATCTAGGATTTTGAATCCAACCTGCTTCAAATAACGCTAAAACATCTAAAATCTTGCATGAAACTGGGTGTAAAATCTCGACCTGGGTAGACTTCATTGTAATTTTGTGTGTACGCGTATGTATCTGCATCTGCGTCTGTGTATGTACGTGGTGTCCCTCTTCAGAAACTGCAGAGCCAATAATTTTTTTTTTTGAAATCATGCAGCGTAATTTCTCGTGCAATCATTTTTCAAAAAATTAAGTGGGTTTTTAGGTTGCCAGTCTGGCAATTTTGGGATTATTTTCTGTCAAGTAATGCATTATTAAGCCAAACTAAAGCTTCCTTATTGATACGCGTTAATTAAAAGTGGAAATTTTAGTCTTTTTGCTATCTCTTTAACTATTCTTCTCCCTCCCTTTGCTACCGAACGAATTGCCAACCATATACAGAACTAATTCAACGATTAAGCATTTGAGATTTTTTTTGGTACCTACATAGAATATCCATCGCCCCCCCCCCCCTGTCATTTTTGCAAAAGGAGGGAATTATCTATTGACGCGTAGCGTAGGCAGCAATATGAATGATCATTAATACCCACATGCAAAATCAATAAAAATTGGACAGTAGTTTTACTGAAACGACCCATGTTTGAGTTGCTCGCATGCATGAGAGTTCTGTAAATACCTTCACATAGAGTCCCAGAGGCGTTAGGGCATTAACAAATAATTGATGAGACATGGTCAAAAACGGGGTCTGTTATGTTACACTGCTCAAAATTACCGAACTGTTAATTGAGTTTCTGTTTTTTTTGCTGTTGTGCCCCTGCTACATGCAAGTTTTATGGTTATTTTTCTGAGCTGAGTAATTTTGCCCCACCCTCCAGCAACGAGCACGGATCATGGCGGGTCTCGAACATCCGACCTTTCGATTGAGAGGCGGAGACGTAACCATTTCACAACCGCTCGCCCAGATTTTTTCCCCTAGATTTTTTCAGCTGGAATTAATTTCAACCAATCAGAATCGAGCATTATTATCCGATTTTTAAATTTGAAAAAGTTAGTTCTGGGCCGTATCTAACAGAAAAGGGCTAAAAATGGTACATAAGATTTATAAGGAGTTCGTATATTTTCGTTTCTCTCCATTTGCCCATTATCAAGTAATAAAATATTTAGCACCTATCAGAAATGCAGATGAGGAATTATGTCATAAATGGGACAGATCGTGCATATTGGTATTATAGAACATCGGTAAAAATGCGACTTCCCCCGGTAGCAAATGAATCTGGCTCATAAATCAATTACAACTGACTTTTGTCTGAAATCTAGAGATGACCTAAAAGCTAGTGACGTCCTGAGCTCAAAATTACGGAAACTATTTTCAGGTGAAATCTTTTTTTTTCAAGTAATGAGGATTTGTAACATGTCAAAATGAGTAATTTGGGATAATAAATGCGCTACAAAATTCGCACTAAAACGCGTGAGTGGCGATGTGATCCAGCTCAAAAATTGTTGACAATTGAATTGAGACGAGCAATTCTGTCTTTGTAATACGGTACTAGACGGTACTAAATGAATTTCGTGTCTATATACAGTTTTAAACTTATTCAAACACGGAAGTTTGACCGCTTATCGCTAAAAATTTATAAGATTTTCTTACACAGAGGCGAAGCAGAGCTTCGTAACACTTGCAATACAATTAAACATTGCATTATTCGAAATACAAACAAAAATCACATCTGAAAAAATTCTTACCTTAGTCTGGGATGATGTTCATAAATAGCCTTTACCAGCATTAAGAATCAACAAGACTGCTCGTATATCAGGGCAAAGCCCTGAATGTTCAGACCGCCTTTTAAAGGGTCTCGTATATTGGTAAATTATAAAATTTGGACAATATCGAAGAACAAGTGTGAAAATATTAGTTGTACGAAATTAATACGACCGAATACAGTAGCGGATTTAGGGAAGGGGCATGGGGACGCACCCCTCAGGGATTGGACCCCCTGCCGACCCAAAGGGTCCCCCTTGGTACTATTTCGAGATATCCACTTTTAGATGACTGAACTTAAAATTTTTCTAAAAGCGCCTTGCGTGCCAATTTATACTAATTTTGAGGGGGAAACGCGCGCCGAAAAAACGCAATTTTTTGGTCAAAATTTTCCAAAAAATGCTTTTTCGGCCTGTTTTTTGAAAAAGTTGTCTGCAACGCAGCAGAAAGTATGGTCAATATAGGGTCTTTATAGTGATTTGGGAGAGCTCAGAAAATCAATTTGATCGACCTAAAAAAAGGTCGAACAAAATTTCAAATTTTTTGTTTGAAAATCTGCCCCCCTCGGGAAGTTCCTAGATACGTGCCTGACCAAACAGCTAGCCTCAAATTCAATTTGGTTTCTTTATTGAATTTTTTTGTGCGGGATAATTTGCCACGCATTAACCATTCGCGTTAAAAAAATATTTCAAGTCAAGGTTGGTAAATTTACAAACTTTAGAAAAAATTTCAATTATAAAAAGAAAAAAATTGAATCAAAAGTAAAAAAGCCAAGCATGGGAAGAACTCGTTTGGAAAGAGTACCAGACAATTTAACCTACCTTTGGAAAAAACGGAAAATCAGCCGAAAAAAATTCAGACAAAACCTCAAACCCGAAAAACAAATCAAAATTTTTTAATAAATACATTTGAAAAAATTAGTTACTACATAATATAATCTAAGAGGTATAGAGGTAGTTTTCAAGAAATTGAACATGTCCATTTGTACATTTTCCACTAAAAAGCAATTGCAAACTGTACGTATTTTGGATCTCAGGGAGGGAGGGAGATTCGCAAAAGGGAGGGAGATTCGTTACTAGATACAAAATTCGCATATACTCATTTGTTGATTTATTTCGTTATAGGGGGAGATTCGTTACTAGGTACCTGAGGGGTAGGGGGAATAGTTCAAGAGATCCCGTATTTCTTACAGAACATATAAGAAAAGTTGGTAACAGGAAAAAAATTTGGTTTGTTGATTACAAGTCACTTGCTCTCGCAAGTGAAATAACTGCTATAAGCATACATTAACAAAATGTTTGACAAAATTTTGATAGGAAAAGACTGACAGGGATATCATAAAATTGATAACAAGTTGATAGTTTAATGAAAAAGAGACTGCATCATGTTTAATATACTAACCAATGCTGCAACTGATTCTTCGGATGCTCTAGAATGCGCTTCATTTTCAACTGCCACATACCCTTCCCCCTCCTCCTCCTCCTTTAACTGGGCGTGGTCATTACTCTCGGCAACCTCAACAGGTAAAATCTGAATATCTTTGTCACCCTCTTCTTCATCTTCGTCTTCGTAGAATTGCCCTTCATTTTCATCCGAGATCCTTCCACTCCTCTCCTCCCCCTCACCTTCTTGTGATTTCTCCTCCTCCCACCCGAAGCCCATCATCTTGTCGCCACTCTCTTCAACAGCTCTTTTTTTCACTCCTCTTTCGACACTCTCTTCCACTTTCAACTCAACTTCTCTAATATTCTTCTTTTCGAATTCTTCTTCTTTTTCGTCTTCTTCTTTTTCGTCTTCTTTTTCTTCTTCTTCTTCTTCTTCTTTTTCGTCTTCTTCTTCTTTTTCGTCTTCTTCCTTTTCAACTTCACTTAAAGCTGAATTGAGAACCAAATCCGTCAGTGTTTTGGCTACTCTGATCAATTCGGCCTCATAGACAATGAGTTCGTTTTCGGTTTCTAGACCAGATGCTTCAGATTGGACTTCGGGCTCTGCTTGTTCGGCAGCAAGCTGTTCGGGGGTTTTGGGTCGATCTGGGTTCGGTTGGGAGTTTTTATCTCCCTCCTTTTCTATCTGATCTTTTTCCTCCTCCTTTTCCTGCTCTGGACTGCTTCGTTCTTCTTTTCTGTCTAATTCTTTTTCGTCTTCTTTTTCTTCTTCTTTTTCTTCTTCGTTGTTTTCTTCTTCTTCCTTAGCTAATGTGTCGATAGCAGCAGTTGGCGATGATGAGGATTTGACTGTCTCTTCACTACAGACACTGCTTCTACTGCTTCTTTCTTCTTCTGCACGAGATGCTACAACAAAACACTCTCAATGATAAACAAGGATAGCCGGTTACTGAGCAAGTAGGACAGATTGTTCCGATCATGGTCTTAAAAATACAACTAAATTAGTGTCGTTTGTCTGCGTGGTGTGATAAAAGAATCAAAAGGAAAAACTAGAACTCAGACATATTCGACAGCCATAGATAAATAAGCAAGATGAACAGTAGTTTTTTAAGGAAAACTATACAATTTTTTTTGAAAAAATGACTAGAAAAACAGAAAAATCTGAAAAAATTCTTAAAAAAATTCTTAAAGTTTTTAATTCCATAAAAGCGTTAAAAAAATTTCAAAAAAATATATTGCATTTTTGTTAGAATATTTGTTTAAAAAAAATTAGTCACAAATAAACTATTGTAAATGGCTTTAGCTAAGCCTAAATAAGCCTGCTTGTTTGCTTTATTCGCTCGAAATTAGAACAAAAACAAAAAATTTCACAGGGGTTTCTCTCGACACCGAGACAATTTAAAGAAGGAAAATAAAAAATTCAGTCGAATCACGACTGAAAGGAATTTAATATGGTAGATCACTCGACTAATTCCAATAACTATTGTGGTACCTGATTTTGCTGGGAAAACAAAAAAAATTCTCCCCATCTCCTAAATGATCGGAACAATTACGCTTATCAACCAACCTATAATTCAAATTCATTTCCCGACCACTTCGAGAAGAGAACGTAAGAACCTATAACAACCCGGGTTGACAGAAAATGCTTATCATACAATTTTCATATATGAAAAAAATGCTTATCATACTCTTTAATACAATTTCATAGAGCAAAAATAAGTGTATGAAAATAGCAAAATAAGCATTTTTTCCAGAAATTGTACGACGAGCATTTTTTCCATACTATAAAATTGTATCATAAGCATTTTTTCCATACAATGAAAAAACAAAAAAAAATTGTTTCGAAATTTCGTGTTTCAACCGAAACACTAACCAAGGATTTTTTGTCATATGACAACCCAGAGTGTAAATGGAAATTACCACGCAGATAAAATGCATTTGGTGATTTTAGCCATAAAAGTTAATTTTAACATTTTCACATGGAATTATATACCAAACAAGTAACTTTTTGAATATGGCTAGATAATTTTTAGTTTGAAAATTTTGATTGTTGAGAAAAAAGGCCTGTTTTTCTACAAAGTTATTTTTATTTTAGCAATGAAACAAAAGATAATAATCGTGTTTACAAAAAAAACACTTTCTTGTGATTTTTGGATTTTTTGGGTGAAAAACTCATCCTGGACTACGTTATAAACACAAAATCTCAAATTTTTCATCTCAAATTTCGTAAAATTTATATTTTAGCACAAAAGCAAGTTGCAGCCAAAAATGGGATTAAAAATTTTTAACTTCAAATTTTTGTTTTTGTTTATGAAAAAAATGCATGTCAATAAACTTTCATATATGAAAGTTGAGTTGTATGATAAGCATTTTTTATAAAAAAAATTTTAAATCATTTTTTTAATAACCAGAAAGCTTCAAAAGAGGCAAGTAGACCAAAAATGTTCATGGAAATTTTTAAAACACTTTTTAAACTTTGTAAGAATTTTCTATGACAAGCATATTTTTTTCATAGATTTCGTATATGAGACTGTATGATAAGCATTTTTCTTCTATGGAAATCAACCCGGGAAAAGGTAGATTTTGTTCATCCCGATTGTGATAACTGCATATTGACAGCTTGTAAGAAATCAAATACGGTATCCTTGTCAAAAATATCAAAAAAATACTCTTCAAAAAATGGTCAGACACAACCTAGAAAACAAACAGAATTTTTCTTTAACGGATTAATAGTATTCTCCTGCTGCCGGGTTAGGTGAAAGCTAGAAAAATGAAAAACCTCTCTAATTGTTATATAATATAAATATTAAAATTGACTTCTTCAGATCAAAAAGCTGTTATACAGGCATTTACGGACGTTGTGGTTATAAAAATGAGAACACTGGAACACATTTTTTTAAATGCTGAATTACTAAACAACAGTGTTGAAACAAAAAGGCTGTATCATTTGGTAGGCCATCAAACAGATTGTTTTTTGTATATTTTGAAGGGAATTCAAGGTCAACTATGTTAGGGAAAACAAAATTTTGTTTTGGTTTTCAAATTCTCAAAGATCCGTAGGTTAGAATATATAACTAAATCGAAATTAAACATAAACGAAGACAGCATAAAAAAACTTTTGGTTGATAAATGATCATTTTTCAAAAAATTGCAAAACTTTTCGAGAAATAAGAGTTTTTATTTTTTGCCTTTTGCAATAAAAGAGTTTTGGATACTTAATGAGAAATCTGACTGCTATTTCGAAAACTTTTACCTAGAGCAACTTGTAATTGACAAACAAGAAAGCGGCAAATAAGACAAAACGCCACAAAGAATCAACAAAAAACTCTGAACCATGCATTTGAATGGTAGGCCTTTATGATGTCAAATTGAAAGTGTAACAAAAATTAAAAGCATTCGAATCAGGAATTGATCATAACTCACCAATGAGGCGGTCTTCAACTTTGTGTCCGTGCTTCACTGTTATAAAAGTCAAGTTATCAAATCCGACTTCCAAATCTTTTCCACCACTTTTTCCTCCTGCTGCCGAAAAGAGACTCGTGTCTAATGGCAGCGCGACTTTAACTTCGTTCGACAAAATCGGCTTCTCGGTTACGACGAATTTAGTCGCCAATACAACTCGGATGGTCTCGTTGAGCACACAGTCGACCAAGGACGCCTTATAGCGAGAGGATTTTAAGTCGGGTAAAATTGGATCCCCACAAAGTATACCGTCTACAAGGAGTGAAAAGTGTTCTACGCCCGCTTGAAGTGTCGAAGGCCAGATAACCGAGAAAGAGTCCGGTTTGGTTGCAGAGACTTCGATTGAGATTAAGGGTGACCCTGTGTTAGCTTCACGGTCGCAGCTGAATAGCTAAAGTAAATTTAATCTTTAATGTGATAATAAAAATTTTATGGTATGAAAAAAGCTCGTTTGTAATGCGTCTCTTTGAATAGATTATATCTGTATACACTTCAATTTGAAAACTTGCATTATCAGACTGTATAAAACGTTTTTTGAACAGAGATTGTGTTTATGCAGTTTTGTCATTGTCTGACGTAGCCTCTTAAATCATATACTTTTTTCGTCTCCAACAAATCAATTATTCACGTTGTTTCTCTTGCTGAAAAAGATCAAAACAGAAGTGAAAATTTTGAACTGAGATGTTCAATGGATTGTGGAAAACGCTCATATAGGTCGCATTTTTTTTAAACTACTTCCAAACAACAACAAGACTGCTCGTATCAGGGCAAAGCCCTGAATGTTCCGACTGCCTTTTAAGGTTTATTGAGCAGCAGTAATACATAAAAAAATTAAATGAAATAAAATAAAATGAAATTTCTTTTTCTAAAATTTGAAATTTTTAAAGAAAATCATCCCCCCCACACGCCATATAAAGTACAAAAAGATAGGTTCCGTTCCTTGTAACAAATCAATTATGGCAAATAAGCTTCGTTCAACCAGTTTGGAACAAATTATAAGACGGATTAAATCTCCGCTTACGCGTTAATAGTGCGAATTATATTGCGCGTTAATTGTCCCAAATTGGTCAAAATGGCCAAAATGGCAATCTTTAAACCCTCATAACTTTACGAAAAATGATCACAGGTGAAATATCTTTTCAAATTTAAGCTCAGGACAACAATACCTTTGAAAGATATAAAAACATTCAGTCAAAAATCGCTAGTTAAAAAGTCGAAATTTGTCTGAAGAAAAAAAACCCACCCCGAGCATAAATATTCCGTTACTTTTGTATCGAAAGTCGGAACAAAAAACGGAAAAGTTGAGAAAAACTAGAACACACCCGAATACAAAGTTCCTCCCTATTTCCGATGGTCGGAACGATAACTGATTTTCATAAAACAAACTATACACTCTCGCTTTATTTGCTCGAATTTAGACTACAAACTTCTGAACTAAACTTTTTCGGTTATTGGCAAAAACATTTTCGATAACTTTTTTATAAGTCGGTTCAATCACCACTGATAGGGTTTTAATTTGTGGGATTACTCGCCCAAATTGTTGATTAGTTAAGGTATCTGATCGTGCGTAGTGAAACGTAGAAAAACACATACGAAGTCAAATTTCTTCCAGTCGTCAGAACAAAAGAAAAAAAACTGTCGTTCTTTGAGACAAAAAACCTTTAATTAAGCACATTCGAAATCTATTTGCTGCATCAATTATTTCGCACTCAAAAATTTATCTTGAGCCAGACATGTAATTTTACGTGTTTTCGAAATATTATGTTTGATTAATTTTTTGTCATTGTTCATATGATAAGCCTAAAACAATTTTTAGGAGAGTGAAACCTCGTCGCGAGCAAGACAGTGAGACAATCGCAAAAATCAGCAATTTTTGTCCAAATTCGAAACATTGAAACACACAAAGGAAACACACAAGAGTTTAGAAGGCACTAAATGGCAACAATAGAAGACAGTTGCATTCAAAAACATTAACACCAGCTTTTTGGAGAGCCAAAACTCCAACACGATAAAGATGGCACTTAAAAAGTTCTCTTGAAAAATTTCATTTTAAACTCAACGCAAAAAATATTACAAGAAAAAATTTCTCTCAATGAACACAATGACATAGAACTTGACTTAGATGAGAATGATGTAAGACGATTTTTTGCACACTTGAAGCTTCATCTGCGAGCATGTAGTTGTTTTTACACTTGTCTTGTAATCGGGAACTACACTTTTTTCCGTAATCAATTCTTTCACATATATTACTTACTTTTTAATTGCTTTTTTTGAACCTTCGCAGTTTCAAGTTTGTTTCCAGTTACATTCGATATACATTTAAGTTGGCGCGGCATCACAAATAATGATAACGGAAATTTTGTATACGTATTTTTGCGTGACCAAATTGATTTTAGGCTGATCAAATTGAATTAAATTTGTAAAGTTTCAAGCATAGTTTGATTTTTTGTACAACCGCTTTTCCTGAATGGATCAGTTAGGTATAATTTTTGATCAAAAATACCTTCAAAGGTACAATAATTTTATTAAATGAAACAAAATATCTTGAAACACAGTCATGCTGAGCTTTAACAATGAAGTGTATACCAAATTTAATAGTTTTTTGATAAATTGAACAGCAAAATACCATTCTATTGGTCTATTGACATTCATCGCGATTTTTTGAGAATTTGATTTTATTTTTTAAATTGTTAAATAGCTATATTTAACTACGGGAAAAACTGATGAATGCTTAAGATGTATACTTAACTAATTGAATAATGTGATTTAACTTTTAAAAATGTTGCTTTGGAATTTGAGTCACGGACAATGTTTTCACATTACTCCTCGCTTGGTTCAACTGAAGGTTTCAATGGGGCGAATGAAACGTTGAAGAAGAACAAACACCTGAACCAAGAGACTCGTCCGACTGATATCATTAGTCAAAACAGATATGAGAAAAATAGCTTCTCAAATTTAAGCCTCGATATTTACAAGACTCGTGTACTTCCAATGAAAACTAAAAACTAAGTAAGTAGTGTATTAATGCCTACCTTGGTCTGAGAATACTTGGGGGTCAAGTGTTGTGCTGTTGGAGTTGCAGCCACTTTGACCCCGTAGCTGACCCCTCCTTCTAGCCCCACCAGGCGACATGACCTCGTGACCCGGTTGAAGGGGGCACAGTAGCTGTGGCCATCAATATAGAGTTGGTAACAGAAGATGAACTGTTTGGCATTGGGGGGCTCGACAGACCAGGATACTTGGACACTGCCATTGTGCAAATCTGCAAGCAGGACTCTTTTCCCAATTCCAACCACATCCCCATGTCTCTTATACAAGTAACCTCCTCCTCCCCCCTCCCACCCCTGTTACAAAGCTCATCAAGATTGCAGAATACCACAATTCCAACAGGATGCAAATCCGTTTACATTTCACTACATACAATAAAAAAGTCATACTAGTTTTTTTAACCTCCATAGATGAACAATCAAACTCCATTATATTTCAAGTCGACTAAATTTTCAAGTTAAACAAAAATGATTTTCGAATGAAAGGCTGCATTCTCAAAATATTAAAAAGACCCTGTTAGCTAAAATTGTCTTTATTTCTCCCTGCTCAGCTATTGAATGACCGTAATTTATTGGCCAAGTCAAAATTTTTGCCAGATGGGGGTGTGAATTAATGTTTGGCGATAGAAGTTGGAATAAGGAAAAGAGGAAGAGGCCTGTGAGGACGATGTCGAGTGACACTTGCTCCCACTTCTGTTCCACTCCTCTTTCTCCACTACCCCCACCCTCCCCCTCCTCTTGCCCTGATGACGTCATCAATGCAGAAGAAGACGAGGGATGAGGAAGAGGTTTTTTGCTCACAACTTGGAAAGTGCTGCAAAATAGGCGTGAACTCATTATTCCATTGACTGCGTTAGCTAGTTTATTTTTAAAAATATATATATAAATTTCTGAATTTTTTTCTATGCATAACCAAAATTCCTAATCAATAAATCTGCGCAATCAGACCTCTTTTTGCATAAACTCCACTAATTTTTTGGGCAATTATTGGTGGAGGTAAGTTCTAACAGCTGTCTAGCAAAAATAGCCCACAAAGCTAAAATATGACATTTCCGGCAAAATATTGACATTTTTTCTTCTGGGTTTTGTTCAGAGTTTTTGAACTCGAACTTTATTCGATCAAGAGAACAAAAGACCATAAAATTGTTGATTTCTTTTTTTTCGTAAATTCGCATTGCTACAAGAACCACTCTTATATGTGAGACTATTATATATTATGACTAATTTAATAATCTACAGAATAAGAGTTTCATCAAAAAACTTCTACAAAAATTAAAAAAAAAACTAAACTTTGTTGAAAAAATATTTCGTTTTTTTTTTTGTTTCTTAATGATTTTTTTTTGTGATACCTGTTCCGAATATTTTAACTCACTTTGAGATGAACTGTTTGCTATCGAGCACTCCCTTCTTCACAGCTACTGCCCTGATCACGTGGAAGCCCACTCTCTCAAACAAAACGCCCTTCTGTTGTCTGTAGAGCTGAAACAAAGGAATAATACTTACAGTTACTAGCAATGTAGATATTCAATTTTGCTCAACTGAAAAAAAAAGTTTTCAATTGAATAAAAACATAACTTTTTAAATTGAATTTATTTAAAACGAATTGATTCTCAAAATCTGAGCAAAAAATGTTATAATTACCGTTCGCGCATTTCGACCAAACTCATTACAGAACGGGTATAGGGGGAAAAGAATTCGACACCTCAGGGACTCGAGTACTCGATTAATCAAAGGGTTCTCTTCGAGAAATAATTTACAGAGGGACAGATTTAGAGGGGAGGGGGGTTCGAACGCCTTCTCTTCTCCCCTCAGGGATTCGGCCCCCTGCTGACCCAAGGGTCCCCCTTTGTACTATTTTAAGATATCCGTTTTTGGAGACGGAAACTGAAAATATTCTAAAAGAGCCTTCGGAGCCAACATATTCTAATTTTGAGAGGCGCGCTGCGAAAACACCCATTTTTTTGGTCAAAATTTTCCAAAAAGTGCTTTTAAACGCCTTTTTTGCCTGTTTTTTTTCAAATTTTTTACTGCGGCGAAGCAAGTTTGTCCAAAACAGGGAGGATCTTTTTAGTGCTTTGAGAGAGCGCAGAAAATCAATTGATTGACCTAAAAAAAAGGTCGACAGAATTTTCGAATTTTTTTTGAAAATCCGCTACACCCTCGAGAAAATCCTAGATCCGCTCCTGATTTTACAGCATCCGTTTTCGGTTGACCAACTTTAGAAGTTTTGTAGGTGCTGCAGTGACCCTTCAAAAGGACTATAAAATTGTTGATTTCTTTTTTTTTCGTAAATTCGCAACGCTATAAGCACAACTCTTATATGAGAGACTATTATATATTAGAATTAATATTATAATCTACAAAATAAGAGTTTCATCAAAAAAATCTACAAAAATTTTTTTTGTGATGACAACAGTGGTCGGATTACTCTGCGGTATTGACCAATCAACCGACTACCTGTGTTATCGTTTCAGGAGAGCTATGAAATCGATGTGGTGGTCAAATTACCAAAACTCACATGATGTCCCTCGATGGAGTTTTGATGATTTTATATAGTTTGACTGAAGTAGATTTTGAATAAAATATTTATCTAATCTTTACGAATTGGAAAAGTTTACCTGCTGCCAGGCACCTATAGCCAGATAAACTCTAGTGAAAAAAGTCAGGAAAACACATCTGCTTTGATCACATATTAATAAGTACAACAATTGAGAGGAATTAAGATCTGCTGCGCAGAGAATTCAAAAAAAAAACTTGAATCGATCTCAATGTTCGCCTTATTTTCTGCTTCACAAAACAGAATTTTTATTCGCAAATTTAAATGAATTCAAACTGAATTTAAGGTGCTGTCTGTTTTAAAACGTTCCTTTGCATTTTATGAAACTGTTTCCGTATAAATATTTCAATAGTGTAACCTAGCCGACAGTGACTGACTGACTGACTGTCTGAGTGAGCGAGGAATCAAGTTACCCCCCCCCCCCCCTGCGTGTCCAAAGACCAAATTAAGATTCTTAAACTCAATAATAAATCAAATTGAATTTTTTGTTTAGTGCTGCGTGTAAAACGACTGATTCTGATTGTCTAGAACTTCCAACACACAACCAATCAAGTCAAAAACTTCACCCTAAACAGCAACAGCTTTTAGTGCGGAGGAGGATCTTAACTTGTGTGCTTTTTTGACTTTATGACTTTTTGACTTGGCTGCTGTCGGGTGTATATGGTTACTGTACCTTGATGCCAGTTGTGAAGCATGGCTTGGTTCCATCCAGAGTATACAGAATGAAAGTGTCTTCCTCTCCTTCTTCTTCGTCTTCTTTTTCTACCTCCCTCTCCCCCTCCCCCATCTCGACATCAGCTCCCCCCTCATTTCTAGGGTGCTTTTTGTGTCTATTTTTCCGATTGGTGGTCTTCAGATATACTCTGTGTCCCACTGCCACTACTATCACTCTCCCCCCAACTGCACCGCTGATGCTCCCATCCATGTCATCCCCATCATCATCCTCATAATCCCCTTTTACACCTGCTTGGTCACTTCCGCCACTCAAGTAGGGAACAGGCGCTTCTTTTTCTAAACACACGCACCACAGTCAAAGAACGTATACACGATGTCTGCAAAACGGACATTATATGTCTAATGGTGATATTCTAGACTGGTCTTCTTAAGATGGTTGAATAATTATATAAATAAGTTAAATCGCTGAAAATGCGGATTTAATTCATTATTGACGTTAAAAACAACTGCCGACAAAAATAAAATCAGCGCCAATCACAATTTGACGTGAGGTATATTTCTTGATTGTGTCAGATTGTAGAGCAGCCGCAGAATTTTAGCGTGAGTGCAAAGGTATGGCGTCAAAAAATAATAATAATAGAGTTACAAACTGTTCAATTTAACTATAAATGAACTGGCTGTGCAAAATTTACGACGGAAATGAACTTTGGGCTCTTTTTCCTTCCCCCCCCCCCCCCACCTCACGCCAGTTTCAACTTATTAGTGTAACGAGTGGTTTTACGAGGTTGAGTATGAAGACCAAATATGTTTGTAGTGGCCTTATTAGTCTGTATGTAAATTTTCATAACAATCGGACAATGTGGTCATCAAATTTACATGTAAAAATTTGCAGGTGGGGGGGAAAGGAAAAAGAGCCGAACTTTGATATCATTTTTAGAAAAGTTTATAATCTACACTTGCACATTTGATACATAAAAATTTGGATGTAATTTTTTAATGACGAACGACCAAAACGGGAGGAAGATATGTAAAATTTGTCCTTTGCAAGTAATTACTAAAAAACAAAACAATGCGAAACATTCAAGTTTTGCACGTTTGTTTAAAACGCTAGACTAAAACGCAAACCATTACGAGGCCAAACTGTGTGTTTTGTGATTTTTAAGCGGATTGCGCAACAGGCCAAAAAAGGTTTGTTGCGGAATCCGTAACATTGCTAGTTTTCTTTGATCTTCTTCACTGTTTTTAATTCACAAACATTTACCTGAAAATTGCTCCAAAAACAAACGAGTTTGCAAATAAAAATTGCGGAATTCGCAAAAAAAATTGAAGGATCCGGAACTGTTTGTGGAATTCGCAAGCAGATAATTACATATGTGCATCCTAATTTTACGCAATCGCGAAATCCGCAACTGTAAGCGGAATCCTTACGACGGAATTGGTATCATTTTTATCGGAATCCGCAAAATTCGCTTTCACTTGCGGAATCCGCTTAAAGTTTAGGAAATCCAATCATATTTGTTGAATTCCAAATTATTAGCTATATTCGCTCATCACGGAATCCGTGACACAATGTGCCGACAACGTTAAATTACCCGTATTTGAGCTTGAAATTGACTAAGATCTATAAAGTGGAAACCAGTTACTGTTTGAAAAAGTTTAAAAGTTGTCTCTGGATTCCAGTGACCTAGAGACAACAAATTTTGCGCCTATACAGTGAACAATTTGGCATCCTACCAACAATTAAAATAGTTTTTTTACACGACATATAAGTTAATGTAATATCTTTTTTATCAAATTACTAAGAAATGGGTTTTGGTATGTTACCACTTGCGACCCTATACATGACATCGGAATACAATTTTTTTTGTAACTTTTAGTGATCGACAACGAAACTGGAATAAAACAGTAATTCACCCTAGACAGCGGTTGTCATTCAAAACGGTATTTCGAGTTGCATAACTCACAAACTTCTGTTGATCTAATGATTCGCAAGGTAATCTACAAGTATTGTTACTCATTGATGTTTAATTATTCAAAATGTTTTGATACATCGAATCATTTTAAACAGAATAATGATTCAAACTGGCATGATTAACAGAAAGTTTTTGTGCGGCACATGATTTTGTGTTTTTGTAGCTTCTTTGTAAATTTTTTGTACTCTAGCCGATTTTGTTTTGTAATCAGGCTTGTCTGAAGAAAAACGTTTAACTATCTGAAAAATATCATTGCGTTGAGCTCAATTTTTATGAAAAAAATTTTACCTGCAACTTTTTTTTGTCAAAGTACGAGGTTTTCAAAGTTTTCAATTAGCAAATTTGGGATAAGTACTGCATGCATTATTTTTTTATCAGCTGGTAGAAAATGCACTAAAATATTTCGGCTCAGAATTTTTTTCAGCATGACTTGAGGGAGCTATTTAGGTTAAATAGCGAGTTTCTGAGGGAGAAGAACATCACTCTGAGCTTCAAATTGCGTGTGGTAGATGTTTTGTAAAAGGTTGTGTGGTTGATTTTTTTTGGAATAAATTTTTCAAGTTTTAACCAAAAAGAACTTTTGATGCCTCAAATGGTAATTGGGTTACTCCGGATATTTTTTCTATTTTCCACCTCTTAAAAAACAGATGAACGTTTGGTAGAACCAAAATCATATTGACAAAAAGATTTTTGCCAGCTGCAGTTTGTGTAAGCAGCTGATAAAAACATTGGATTAATGAAATCAAGTATTAGTTTTAAAACTGGATCATTCTTTTCTTCTTTTGCTGAACTTTTATCAAAATCAAACTTAATCAGGCGAAGTGTTCTGGAAAAATTTGTGATTGACTCCGCGTATCAAACATTTCTATAACTTAAGCAAGTTAGAAGTGCTTATTGTATAGAAGTGCTTTTTTACCAATATGATCTGAGAGCTACTTGATGTAATTTTTGTCTTAGAAGCTTTTTCAAACTATTAAAGTTGAAATGATTTTCTCACCAATAAAAAAGAACAAAATGGGATACAAAAAAATCACACAGAGGCAACTCTGCGCTTCACATTATTTGTGATAATAAAATAAATACTTGTGATGAAAATAAAATGAAAAAAAAAATCATTGTCAAAAAATAATTACCAACAATTGCAATAAAAGTGAACAATATTTAAAAAATTTTTAATTCTACCATTAAAAACTTTCACTTAAAAAATCTACCATTAAAGAGTCGATTTTTAAAAAAAGAGTATCTTCTGCGGAACTATGCCGACAAAAGTAAGCAGACAGAGAAAATGTTCAGTTTGCAAAAAAAAACAGGTTTCGACTGGAATTGAATTCCTGTTTTTTTTTGTCTCAAGAATGGATGTTAAAGGAAAACTGAATCTTCAAAAAATAGGCTACGGGAACTAAGCCGATGAAAATAAGCAAACGGACAATAATCCGAAAAAGCACAAAAACTCTAGTTTGCAAAAAACTGATCGCGTGCTAATTCGAAATAAAAGCTTTTGCCTTCTCAAGCATTGTGTTACCTCTACGCCACATGTGTCAGATGGTTGATTGAAACTGACATTATGATTGCCAAGTGATAACAAAGCCAAAAACACCCGAGCAGAAACCCTTCATAAAAAATTCAAAAAAGTTATTTGCTAAAAAAATCCCTTTAAGTCCCCTTTCCCTATGAACATACATACACATACAAACACGCACACGAAACCTTTTTCTGACATCAATCGACGCAATGAAAGGCCACTAAGTCGGTATAAAACCAAGCCGAGACCTATCAAGCCAAAAAAAGGCAATTAAAAAAATCATTAAACTTTAACAAATCAAGTTGGTATATTACAACCAACGTGAAAAGCAAACTTCGATTGGGTCGTATGTTTAAAATGCTAATATGCTCAAAACATGTCTGTTGCAACAGAAACGCCCGGTAGATGAATGAGTCTAGGAGATGGATGAGAGTATTGTGAACAAAGTTATCTCTACGGGAAAAAAGAAAAGTGTAGTACCCGATTGCAATTCCCTTGCTTATTGCAAGGGTATAAAAAAATTGCAATTTTGATTTATTTGTTAAATATTACAGCAGCAATAAAAAGTGGTTTTGAACGACATGGGTTTTTGAAAAATATATCAAAATTGAAGACGACTTTGCCAACTTCATTATTTTTAAGTGATTGAAAATGAAAAAATTGTACCTTTGAAGGTCACCCCAGTTAGTAGTTTCTAAATTACTCACCCTGCAATCAATCGAACACTCACCAGTGTCGAGTACATTGATGACACAGGTGTGTTGGGGACAGCCTTCTGAAGAAACATGAAAGATGCCGGCCCTGTAGAATGAGTGCAGAAATGCCCCCCTCTGTCCTATTGGAGCCCCACTGGAGAACCCCAACTCCCCATTGACCCCAACTACACATTTCTACAATCACAACACATTAGATAATATGGTAAGTATAATACAATACAGTACATTTTCGGTACGATTTTATTTTAAAAACTCGCCTGCTGCGAAAAAGTTTAGGAAACATAAGCATCTGAATAGCATTTTGATTGCAGTCGAAACAGTCCAAATGCTCAATTTTTTATCGAGTTGTTTTAAAATTTGGATAATTGAAATATAGGCTAAAAAGGGAATACCCGAGTCGAGATTTTTCACCTAATTTGAAGCAAGATTCGAGCGTTGTTGAACGGTTTATCTAAAAAAAACGCTCAAAAACAGCTCAAATCTTGAGCGGTTTTTGAGCGTTTTTTTTTAGATAAACCGCTCAAAACCGTTCAAATCTTACGCGGTTTTTTAGATAAACCGTTCAAAAACCGCTCAAACCGCTCATTTTGAATCAAGATTTTGAGCGTAATTGTTTAAAAGAACCGCTCAAACCGCTCAAATCTTACATATTTTCCAGTGGTTATTTTGCTCGAGCATTTGAAAAAAGTCACTCACATTGTTTTTGGTCAGGACATCGAAAAAAATCTTGCTTGATTTGAGAACGGTTAAGCACTTTTTTTAAATTGTAGATAGTATTTCAACTGCATCTTAGCGTGGGTTGACCAAAAATGCTTCTTTCATACATTTGATGCAGGCAATTGTATGATTAGCATTTTCGGTGTGGGGAAATGTAAGATAAGCTTTTTCGGTTTATGGAGGTCAACCCGGGGTCACATTACCTTTCCAGGCCTTTTTGTTGGTTTTAATCGGTTTTCTTTATAAGACCGCTCAAAAACCGCATAAAAACCGCTCAAATCTTGCTTGAAAAACCGTTCAAAAATCGCCGCAAGAAAGGAGCGGTTTTTGAGCGGTTTTTAAGCAAGATTTGAGCTGTTTGAGCTGTTTTTCCAAAAAAAAACGCCCAAACCGCTCAAATCTTGCTGAAAAACCGCTCAAACCGCTCATATCTTGAGCGGTTTTTGAGCGGGATCTCGACCCGGGTATAATAGCTTATATTTAGATAAGAAAAATAGAATTTTTTACTATTCCCCCAAATTCCCCTATAGCACCTAGTAAAATAATACCGCGCTATAGAGAAATAGCCAAATGGTTATGCGGATTTTGCAATTAGTAGCACAATACTGGCGGCGGTTAATTAATGAGATTCGAAATATATATTAATTGAAAATGTCAAACAATTTAGATAGAGTACATATCAAAGTGAGATGAAACATTAAATCTAATTTTCATCCGAACGCTTCGACATGAACAAAAAGCGAAGTTATGTGTTGGTCAGTTCACTCCTGTTATTCAAGAGTTACACATACTGATTATGTAATAAGTACATATTGCGATTATCTATTACATCATAACACAAAACTTCATCGAACAGTGCACGGGAGGTCAGGTGGACACTCCTCGTAGTCGGAGATATCCGAGAAGAGAGATCCAAACAGCTGAACAAACAAACAAGCGACGAGAAGTTACGACACTCAATAAACACCAGGCAACAGAATATGATTGCACCAAACAAAAGTTGAGATGACCCTACAATTTGGGATTATGTAGTTTCCTTGGATACTTTCAAAAAACCAAAGCCTAGAACTGCGATCGAACAGTTTGTTAATTTACTAATTTTGACTATTCAAAAACTTTGAATAGAGAAGGCGGCTTATACACAAACTGAAGTTTTTGGGAAACCTTTAGAAAAATTGATGCTGTCAAAAAAAAATTGAAAAATAAAACGCGGTATAAACAGGCAGGCAAAAAATTTGATGACTGATGATTTGCGGCAGCCATTTTGGAAAAATCTCGGCTGGCTTCCTTAAAAGGCAATAACTAATCACGAAATATTTTCAAAATGGTATTAAGAAATTGAAAAAAATAAGAAATTTTGGTTTTTTATTTTGCTACCTTGTCATCAGGAGGTTCGACTCTGAACACATTATGCTTATTGCACCCGTCGTCCCACACCCAATAGACAGAGGAACCCTTCTGTACAGTGACCACGTGCGGCTGGAACCCCTCCCCCCTCGACACCCGCACCACGTGACCAGAGTTGCCCTCGTCCACCAGCAGGGCACATGTGTTAGTCCAGGTAGTGAATTCTACAGGCGTCAGCTGCAGTTCATTCAAGTCTCCGCCACTTTTGGATTTCCGCTCTTCAAGATCTGTTTGAGTTTTAGAGTTGGACCAAGAGGGACTGCCGAGCACGTGGAGACCGTCTTTTGTTACAGGATACGCAACTGCTCGTCTGGAAAAAAAAACTCAATACTAGCACTTAAATATTAGATCAGGTGTTAAGAGTTCAAACATCCCGACTTTTTTTAATTACAAGTTAAATGTTTCCAAAAGTAGGCTGACAAAAAATCGAATTAGAAATCTTTGTTGAGGTTGAAATAATTGAATTGTTTTAATTTGAATGAGTGAACTGAAGCTAAAAACTTAAGAGCATAAAAATGACAAAAAAAATTGAAGTTGGTTGTATTAATTAACCACCAAATATTTTACTCACAGTCAAAAATCTAATCAACATTGTTGTGATGTCATTGAGGCCGTTAAGATATATTTTGTCTTGTACAAAATGATCCCAAAAAACACAAAATCTACCAGCGGCAAGAAACGTCAGTCAGATGAGGTCAAGTTAAATTATTTTAAAACTCTTTCTTCATGAATGGCAGCTTATCCTATGGACAAATCAAAATGCAAAGTTTCGACGTATTTGCGTGTGATGATGATTGAACCAATGTTATACTTACCTCGGAATACATTCCATCGCACTTCGCAACTTTGCTTTTTGCACTGATCCCAACTGATCAAGCTGATAAATCTCAAAATCCGAACAGCTGTCGGCGACCCACATGACCACGTCGCCAGGCACCGTCTGGACCACCGACTGGGCGCCTCCTTTCCTCTGGGTCATTTTACTCCCCAAGAACTGTCCAGTTGGGATTTTATGAATGCGACACTTGGGCTGACCCACCACAATTATTCCGAATTTAGTGGGACTACTTTTGTCTATGAAATAATGCACGCCAGTTTTGAGAAACTGGTGTGTGAACAAAGCGGGTCCGAGTCTAGGCGGTCCGCTTTTGAAGCCCCGTTTCATAGATTTGCCCTGCTGGGTTATTTCAACGATGGATACTTCTGCATTGGAATTCCACTGCCAAACTACTGAGTCATTTGGGCTGATTTTCACCACTTGTGTCTGCTCATTTTCGGCCGACATCTAAACATATATTTGTTAAAACGTTCAGAATATTCTTGGATTTTTGTTGTTAATTTTTAACTGTTAAGTTCTAACATCTTATGCGGTTCTTACAACATTCAGCAATAATTATTTAAAAAATTATCGTATCGTTGCATTAGCCAACCGCAATTACATCTGGCAAAGTTTTTAAAATAGTTTTCAAAAAACCGACAATTTTCAAAAAAAAAAAATCCCCGGAACGAACAAAACCCATGAGAGACAAAAATTTTTATTCGTCTATATTTCAATAACGTATTGAGATCAGATTGCTTTAAATAAATGCAAGAACCTGTCTCGGCATTCCGTGAAATTTTTGGCTAAATCAAAATGTCGATAAATGTATTAATTTTTAATTTTACAAGCCTCAAAAAGTGTAATTGATTACTAATTAAATAATTAAAAAATAAGTCTTAAAAAATTCAATCGATTCAATTTTCTTACCATGTTGAACAGTTGTGAGCTCAAATTCAGCACCGAAAAGGTATACAGAGCAAAATTAAACTTGTTGAAAATTCAGGTTGCGACTAAAACCGTAAACGAACCAAAAATTTTGCTATGAAAAAGGCTGATATCAAAAGCATTCAGTCATAAATTGAAAATCAGTATATTTGAAAGTTTTTTGATGTATTGACGCTATTATGACTCACACTAACACTAATTTAGCTATTTCGACTCACTCTGACATTGATTGCTCCATGCCATGCAAACACATAAATGTAAGGTACACTTGCAATAAAAAATTAGCAGTGAAAGCTAGCAGGCAGGAAAAAAAGCCGCTAGATCCTTAAGAAAGACCAAAAACTCCTCAAATAATTGTAATCTGAAAACATTCAAAATGTTGCCTGGAATCACGTTTTTTTTTTGCGGAAACTGAAGCTGACGCGTTTAAATAATTTCCTGTAGAACCGTAAATATATTTTTGTCACAAACATTTTTGAATTATAATTTTTATTCTAGAAATTATAAAATTATGGCATTATGTGCGATCCGTAATGAAGCACAAAGCAGAGTAAAAATTTTAAGCAAAAACGACAAAATATACGAAATCAGTTGTTGTACGCAATTTTATTGAAAATTAAATACAAAAAAATTAGTTCTACGATGTCGCAACTAAGTCGACAAAACATAATCAGACAAATCAAAAGCCGAAATTTTTGTTAAAAGAATGTTTCCAGTTTGAAAAAAAAAACAGTTCCTGGTCAAATTCGAACCCACAAATTTTGGAGTCCTAGGCGTACTCTTCATCTGCAGGCTAGAAACGCATAGAACTTTCTATTCATCATGAACAAAGATACAAGTGATTCAAGTGAGTCTGCGAAACAAGTTGTTATTCCGAAAAAAGTCTAGATTCCCGTTTGATAACGCTTGCTTACCACAATTGTAATTGAGAAATCTTCTTATAGATCCTTTTTCTGAGAGAGTTGACAAGTGTTAAAATTTATCAGCCGAAAAATTTTGACGCTTAGGCCTGAAGAGACTGCTCAAAAATGACTTTTTCTTGTCTTCAAACGCCATGTAAATCGAAAGTAGTCGCAGATGTTTTCTTTTTTTTGAAACTAGTCAAATATAGTTGAAATCTGTTTCCAAAATTTTTGTGAAAATGGTTGTTTTAAAAACACTGTTACTTTGTTATAACTGGCTGGTTAAAGAACTAATTAAATATTTTTATTTGCTATTTCTGATGATAGATGCAACCGGATGAGTCCAAAGTTTTTTCATTTTAACTATAAAAGCATTTAATTACTGGATGTCACAACAAAAATGATAAAGAGATCCATGATACTTCTGAAAAATAAATTTTTTGAAAAATATTTTTTTGACAATTAAAATCTACAGAAAATTTTATGCAAAAGGGAACGAAATCAACTCTTTGTTAGGATCAAAAAAACCTGCCTCATTTCAATTGAGCATGATTTGTGAGGCGGTTTAAATTGCAGAAAATTTCATGCAAAAAGGAACAAAAGCATTGTTTTACTTGCATCAAAAAAACCTGCCTCAGTTCAATTGAGCATGATTGGTGAGGTGGTTTAAATTGTTGTGTTTGCATTGATACAAAAGGTCGCGTTGATATATTTTATCAGCAATTTTCACCTTTACGTATAAATTTAACTTTAAAAATGTCCGCACTAGAGAACCAATCTAAATTTGGCAATAGTATGAGGTTTTCAGGCTGAAAACGTGAATCTTCTAACGTCTTGAGTTTATTGGATTGGCGCGGTCGTGTGATTAACTTGTTTCCTTACAGTAACGGATTTAGGAAGGTGGGCAGATGCCCCTCTTCCCTCAAGGAATTGACCAGTGCCGACCCAAAGGATTTTCCTTCAGTACAAATTTAAGGCCTCCATTTTTGACCGATTTACTTTCAAATTTTCCTAAAGGAGCCTTTCGCGCCAAAATATACATGTAGTCATTTTGACGGGGGAGGGCCCGCCAAAAAACGCAATTTTTTGGTCAAATTGTTCCATAAAGCACCTTAAAACAGAAACGCAAAAAATACGGCGCAGAAATCAAAAGGATCTCAAAGTTGGGAAAGCTCAGAAAATCTTTTTGGTCGAGCTGAAACATCAAAATTTTTTTGAAAAATGCTAGATCCACTCCTGTTTGCTCTATAAATTGCAAAAAACTAGTGCTTAACAATGTGGATCAAAAAATACACTTTCCTATACAGGTCACGTTGAGGTCTTTTACTTCATCAGTTTTAATCATAATAACTTATTATCAGGCTCACAAATTAGCAGACTAGTATAAGATATTGGTAAAAATTAGGAACATCAAATTGGAGCCGCGCTTCTTTCCGCCGATTTTCGTTGTTTCCAGCTTTTTTCTGTATAGATGTTCGAAGCGTTTTGGCGCTCTTTTTCTACGAAATTGACGTATGCCGATACGCTTGCGAAACGTTCTTTTTTCTGAGAAAAATAACAGCACGTGGCCATTTTGTCTTATTTAGTCGTTTTTGACGGCATTTATTTGGTTGCACTATCTACATCTCAGTTTCTGCTGAATGTTTTTCTCTGTGCTTAGTTCGTTTCTACACCATGAAAACACCATTTTGGATGAAACTGTATTCAAACTCATGTTCGTGCAGTACAATATCAAACGTGTTTGAACCTTTCTGATAATAAAAGTTCTCAGATACTCCGCCTTTTTTCCGCCTAAAAAGGCCACTTATTTTGGCATGGTTCCTCGTAAATTTGATGTTCCTTGTAATAAGTATATCCCAGAGTTAAACTTGGAGAACGTATAACTTTATACAGAGCTGATTTAATTTATCCGGACAAAATGAGCAAAACTTGAAATTTAAACGCTTATATCTCATATTGGTTTGATTCTAGACAAAAAATGATCAAAATAAATCTTTCTTAATTTTTTAACAAAGTTAAATTTGTCCAATTTGTTTTGCAAAGTTCCGGCTAAAAAATGTATCCCAAAAACGATCATTTTTGGCTTTGTTTAGTCAATCAAAAATTACTCCAAACCACCTATTTTTTCATTTAATGACAAAACTATATCAATGCAAACCTATTATAACCCAACAAAATTTAGAGTCAGAAAAGGGCGCAAAAAGTTTGTAAATGTTTTCATTTAAACAAATTGGTGTTTTATATAGTAAAAATGACATTTTTTGTCTATCAAACGAAAATAAGTATGTTTATACAAAATTGAGAAAAATATACATCGTTTAAATTTTGTTAGGCTACATAAGAGGTTTGCATTGATATAGTTTTATCACTAAATGAATAAATAGGTTTGGAGTAAATTTTGGGTGAGTAAACAAAGCAAAAATGATCGTTTTTGGGGTAAATTTATAAGCCCAAATTTTGCCAAGTAAATTAGATCATGTTAGTTCTGTTAAAATTTTAAGCAAATTGGCCCTCCTCATTTTTTGTCTATAATCAAACCAATTTGAGAAAACTGCGTTTTAAATTTCAAGATGTATTCATTTTGTCCGGTTAATTTAAATCAACACTGTCTAAACCGGATTCAAATTTTATAGCACTGCGTGTTAAATGGTGTGTTCTGATTGGCTGAAGATACCGGCAAAAAAATTTAGTGAACGGCAGTTACATGCAGCTACCTGCGTAAATTACTTGTATTTTTTGAACTTATGACCATGAGGTGAAATTTAACATATATTTTGAAAAAAAAACTCATATTTTTCGACTCCGTGACTCACTTGTATACGGTGAGTAATTGGTTGTTGTGAGTGCACGGCGACTGTGATGGCCATTTGGCTGCTGAGGGGGTAGATGCAATAGGAAAACACTCCTCCCCTCTCCATCCTGAGAGACAAACGACCCCCCATCAAAGCAGTCCCCACCACATCCAACTCATTCTTGCTCAGCCCCTCCCCCATAACTTTACACATGCTGTCTCCTATTCCGCCATACTCTAAAAGCAAAACAGAGCCAACTACTGGGCTGTATAGAAAAAATGTTCAGCTTAATTTGAACTCTACGAAAAAAAACTCATTATCTTCTCTTTGGATCTACCTCTGTTCATTTTAAGTCTCGTCCTATGTTTTATTTTATTCAACAGCACTGAACTATACGAGTTCTGTTCAGTGGCGTATCTACAGTTTTGTAAAAACGTGGAAAAACTGATGACACTTTTCTAATGAAAACCTATTAAAAGAGTCCAGGAGAATTTTGGAAACTGTCACCAAAGTCTACCTTCAAGTGATTCGTTGTGGAGCTATAATATTGAAGGCTATTTAAAACAATTATTGAGGTATTCGCGCAAATATCCATCTCAGAGTTT